CACTGTGGTGCCCAGGTTAGAGTACAGTGTCACGATTTTGACTCACTGCAACCTCCACTTCCCAGGCTCAAGTGATCCTCCCACCTCAGCCTCCCCAGTAGGTAGGACTAGAGGCAAGTGTCTTCACACCTACCTAATTTTTGTATTTTTTGTAGAGATGGGGTTTCACCATGTTTCCCAAGCTCATCTCAAACTCCTGGGCGCAAGCAATTTGATCACCTTGGCATACCAAAGTGCTGGGATTACAGCCTTGAGCCACTGTGCCTACCTCTGTCACTTTCTAAAAAATCTTGTGAAGCATTGATAGAAGTGGGAATGATAATTACACTTAATTATGCTTATTTTTGATCTGCATATTGTTTGATTAATCACATCTTTTGGCCAAGTTGAAGGCAGAATTTATATATTGTCTCTACAAGGACCAATAAACAACTACTAGTTTTTAAATATATTTTAAATAAATAATTTAAAAATTAAGTTCCCAGATATTCTCAGCTATTAAGTTAGACCTAACTATTTACTGCTTCTTTTTTTTTTTTGAGATGGAGTTTCACTCTTGTTACCCAGGCTGGAATGCAATGGCACGATCTCCGCTTACCACAACCTCCACTTCCTGGGTTCAGGCAATTGTTCTGCCTCAGCCTCCCGAGTAGCTGGGATTACAGGCACGCACCACCATGCCCAGCTAATTTTTTTTTTTTTTTTTTAGTAGAGACCTGGTCACCGTGTTGACCAGGATGGTCTCGATCTCTTGACCTCGTGATCCACCTGCCTCGGCCTCCCAAAGTGCTGGGATTACAGGCGTGAGCCACCACGCCCGGCCATACTGCTTCTTATAGTAGCCTATTGCTGTCAAAAATATCTGAAGTTCTATTCAGGGCGAAATAGAAATGCACAATTACTGAGATTTAAATTGAGTGAGGAAAGTCAACAACATTGTTCCCATCATTCTACCATAAATGTGGCAAAATCTTACTATTTGTGACAGATCTATAGAATTTGATTTTCTTGTATTTAAAAAAAAATAAACACATAAATATTGGTACGTATAGCATGAACAGAATACAGTGCTATTTGAACATTGTCATAAGACTTATTTATAAAACTTCCTCAAGCTCTTCCCAATATCTTATTAAGATTACATCTCAGCTAAGGTGGGAGGAGGATGAGGATTGAAAAACTGCTTGCATCTAGGGTGGGAGGAGGATGAGGATTGAATGCTTGATTAGGTAACAAAATTCTCTTTACAGCAAACCACCATGATACACAATTTACCCGTGTAACAAACCTACACATGTTTGTTACCCCTTGAACCTAAAATAAAAGTTGGAAGGAAAAAAATTGGAATGCAAAAAAGGAAACCGAGGAAGAAAAAAGATTGCATCTAGTTGTTTTACTAAGACTGTAAAATTTATGACTATTACACATCCTCCTCAGGATTGAGAACTAAACAACATGAGGAGCACAATTACATGCCAAAGATTATTTTTGCCTATTGTTGTTTGTAGCATCTCAGTGGAATGTCTTTGAAAAATTTTTTTATCAATATTATCTCACCTGCTGTGAGTATTGGTGACAGTGATATATGCATTGTGATTAAACACCTAGCCTCCTGAATATAATGTATTTTCGTTACATTGTCCTTCCAAATAGCCTCTTTTTAATTCTTTTAATATTGGCTGCCAGTAATTTAACAAATTGTTATTGAATGTCACAGCTTGATTATAGAACATAGTAAGAAATCAACAAATTGAGCACCAAACTGAATTTAATGCTAAAACGTACCCTTTTAAAAAATATTGTATTACTGATTTTGACTTGTGAAATGTAACATTTCCAATCATTGCTTAATTGTTGACTCAACACTCAAAGATGATATATGCTACTTTTAAAATCCCAAAACCCCAGCTTTGTATACTGCCATCAGGTGATGACAGGTGTCTTGATTCTTCTAGGTTATGGTTCCAGTGATAAGGTTAGGGTCCTGATACAGCAAAACTATGATTTGTTTTTGTTAAACTGAAATGAGAATGTTTTCCTTATTAGAAAAGTTTACACTGCTTTATTATTGTTATCAGTACTTAGAGAAGACTTGAAAAGTATAATTTACAATGAACTCGAAGTTTCTATGTCTAGGAAATGATATGACTCAGGGAATTGGTTTTTTGGGATCCAAAACAAAGAAAACAGAATGACCCATAAAGGACCGCTGTGGCTCATGTATGTAATCCTAGTACTTTGGGAGGCTGAGGCGGGTGGATTGCCTGAGGTCAGGAGTTCAAGACGAGCCTAGCCAACATAGCGAAACCCCATCTCTAGTAAAAATACAAAAAATTAACTGGGTGTGGTGGCGGGTGCCTGTAATCCCAGCTACTAGGAAGGCTGAGGCAGGAGAATCACTAGAACCCATGAGGTGGAGGTTGCAGTTAGCTGATATCATGCCATTGTACCCCAGTGTGGGCAACAAGAACGAAACTCTGTCTCCAAAAACAGAATCATGTTGTTTATAAGGGCAAACTATGGTGAACAAACAACATTAACTTCAAATGAGCACTGGAGAGAAAAATATCCTGATTCTTTAAAATTATTTTTAATATTATTCTCTTTAACTTAGTGATACCCAAAAAAAGAGTCAAAATTTTGTGAAGATGAGTATAATTGGTTGTCTTATCTGTATTAATAGGATTTTTTAATAGCATGATTACTTCTATCAAATGATTTTTAAGACATCAACTTTTTTCTTTTGTGTGTAGATATCAATGGTATCTCTTATAGATTGCTTCCCTTTTTTAAATTAAAAAGTATAAATCTCTATAAAAATTAACTATAACTTTATGAAAGTATGCTTAAACTTGAGCAGATTTTGTAAAGATTTAATGTGTGGAACGTGTTGTTTCTAGCAACAGCTTAATTTCTTTAGTCACTTAACCTTTTTTAGACTTTTCATTTTTGAAAATATTTTTTTTTCACTCTGAATCATACCTAGGAATCCCGTCTCTAGCCTTTGTAATATATTGAAAAGACTTGAAGGCCATTTTGCTCTCAAACTTTTTTCCAGCAGTTTGTCCTTAAACTTCTAACATCTTATCTTACAGGTTTCCTTGTAGTTTTTCACATTTCTGCTCATAAGTGCTTCCAATTAAGATGATATTCTTCTGATTTCCTATTCCTGTGTCTTCTTGCTATATGGGGTCTCCACAGATTTTTTAGCAGCCAGGCCAGGAGATTGTATTCCTTCCTATGTCAGCAGTTTGAATTCCCTTTGAATTAACTCTTTCATGCAGAGGCTGCCACGGTTCTAGTTTGTGTCTTGAAGAATTGTATCACCCTTCTAACTGATACTTTTAACAGTAGCTGCAAACGCTTTATTATATGAGGCTTAAATAGCATAAGAATTCCTTTTGCAACACCTGACATATTTTGAGGTTCATAGATTTGTTCAAAATGAAGGATGTGCAAAAATATTAAAAATTTAACTTTTTAAAATTTAGATTAAGGTGTTTTTATGCCATATATGTTGTTATTTACTCCTATTCTCTCTTCAACTCATTGCATTCGAGTTTTAGTCCCTATCCAGAAGCTGCTATAGTCAGTCTGTGATTTTTGTGTGGTCAAATTCAGTTGTCAGTATAGTGATGTCATTTTACTTAATTGGTCAGCAGTATTTGGCAGAGCTGGTCTCTCTTTCTTCCTAGAAACATATTTATTTACCTGCTGGAAGTTTCCTGCCTTACTGACTGCCCACTTCTAGTATCCTTTCTATATCCTCATCTATTTCATCATCTAGAAACGTCCCAGGGCTTTGGCCTCTTCTAGGCATCACTCCCTAAATGGTCTTATGCAATCATAGAGAATGACACATCTGTGGCATATGACTCCCAAGTTTATCAGCTCCTGATATGGTGTGTACTTAGTTGTTCATTCCCTTACTCCTAAATATAAATTCTATGAGAGCAGGGACTTTCTGTTCACCATTGTATCTGCAATACCTAGAACAATATCTGACACATAATACATACTCACTACTTTACATTGAATGACTTCTTAATTTATGAGTCATTCATCTTGACCGTCTTGAATCAGTCAAAAACAGTACTTCTATTATTTTAACAAAAGTGTGTGTTGGTTGTAGTTTATTTCACTAACACTAAGACAACTATCTCATTACCTGAATTTATTCAGCTCAACGGATTAATTTTGCTTTAATTGTTATGAGTTAAAAATTTTAAATACAGTAAGATTTTATAGATTCAGATAGAGTTGTTTTTTAAAAGACTACACTTTAAAGGTTCTATTAATTCTTTGAAAAAAGCTAAATTAAGTACTTCATTTCCTGAATAGTAAATTATTGACGTTCCTGACATTTTTTCAGTGACATACATTTTATTTGCTTTGTTTGTGTTGTGAGACATTGCGTAAATGAAATTGGTATCAGAAGTAGGATCTATAAAACAAATACTAAATACTGGGGTTAGTACTAACTTTTTCACTGAAGATGGACCCAGAAAAGTAGCCAAACACAATGTCACCTTGGGTTCATTCTGAGATACATACTGGAAAATTACAGTAAGGGGTTCATTCAGGAAATCAGGAGACAATAGGTTAAGCTCTAAGTAATAAAATTAACATTTCTTTATCTTTCACTATGAAAAATATATATAAATCTTTATTTAAATGAGCACCAAATTATAGAAAACCAAGCTAAAGAAATGTAAGTCTAAAATTAAATGTTCAGTTTTGATTTATCAGAGATATGAGCTTTACTAAGTTTTAAGTTAACAAATTTGGACATTAACACATATTAATCTAAATTAATTGATTTGACCTTTGTTTCAGTTTTAGAGAAATGTACTTGTTGAAAATTTAGCAGAATATAAACTATTTAAAATAACAGTTTATACTTGCATACCATTTGAAATGCTTTGTTTTTGCTTGTGTTCTCTGCTAAATTTTTTTCTGTTGAATCTGTGCTGCTTCTTTGCCAATGTTTTCCACTGTAGAATCTCCATCTCGCAACCTTGCTTCTCGTGAGCGCATTTACAAAAATTATGGTGTAGCTGGGCCTGCCTCTGCTCTCTCATCTCTGTCTCACAAACTGAAGGGTGGGTATACATGCTCATGGATGGGCCATTCTAAATGAACATAAGGGAGTTTCATTAAAGATGTTTCCATTCATCTCAGTCATTTTCATGCCATTCCATTTTTTTAAATTAAAGCTTACCATTTTATTTAAATTTGCACATGTTTGGGTAATTTATGATGTTCCTATTCAATATTATGATATAGATCATCCTAATTGCTGTACATGTTTATTACATCTCTAGGTTAAACAGTATTACTGTTATTTAATTTTAAAAGATCATGTGATCCTTAAAAAAATCATAAGTATATAAAAAGAAAGAATTACCTAATGGGGCAATTTTTTAAATCATTTTTATAAAAAAAAAAAAGATGGTGTATGTGCAAGGCATAAAACAGATTTTTTAGTCTTAAACTTATGTAATATAAAAATCATTTTTGCTATTTTGGTCCTTTATGAGAAGCACTGATAATGAACTTGAAGTTTTTAAGTTTAAATTAGTTATTAGTACTTGTGTGTCTATTTATATCTATATGTAAACCTACCTGTTCTGTGTGGCATGAATTTTTCTAATATTATTTTCTTAGTGACTAAGTTTTAATATTTTAAACTTAGAAATGTTTAAACTATTGACTGTCAGCAGAATTTCAGACAATTTAAAAATATATTTTTGGTCTTAAATATTACATAAATATTTTGTCTTAAAGTATTATTTAATTAAACTTTTAAGACATTGTATAAAGGAAAATTTATCAAAAAGTAATTGTACAGCAATGGCTAATATATTGTATAAGTTTTTCCACTGATTACTGATTTTCTTTTTTTCTTAGAAATAGATAAAACAGCTATATGTTTCTCATTTATGTAATTGACACTATACATGTATAAATAGGAAATATAAAAATATAGTGGATAGTATTGTACAACCCGTGCTATATAGTGTATAGGATATAGTGCTGTGTATAACAGCATGCAGTATCATGTAACCTGATGTATGCTATATATCATGCCATGTGATATATACATATAATATGATATAATATGATCCTGATAATTTATGATTTTTGCATGAAAAAATATACGAGTCATTAGTGAATGAATACATTTAACATGTTGAATAACATTGCATTTGTTTGGCCTAAGTTTCTATCCTGTCATTATTTCTTTAGGATTCCTTTGAAGTTAGAAAAATGTTTACCTATTATCACTTAAATGTAAAAATACAGTCATTAAATAAATTAGGAGATGAATGTGAAAGTATCATGTATCATCTGAAGATTTTTTTAGCAAACTATTTGTTTATATTTATTGATATTTTAAACAGACACACCATAACAATTTTTAGTAATATTTAATAACATGCTGTAAAACATTTGAAACACAAATGAAGAAGATAAACATAAATTAGTTAGCACATGATCTTGCTACACTTAACAAGCATAATCTTTTTTTAATATATAGAATGTATTTTAGAAAAATAAATTTTTCAAAAAGATTTATCATTTGAAAAATATATCTGAGAAAGAAATATTTCTGCCGTTATTTATGTGCTTGAACTTCAACAGATATTTAGCTGTCACCACTTACAGATCTTAAGAAAATATTCACCACTATTAGAGCTATAATAAGGTATACAAATGCCTATTTCTTCTAACACTGTGTAATAAACTTCTTTGCTCACATATAACAAGTGATGTTCCTGATATTTGGCAGATTCCATTTTTCAGGCAACCACAGCAGCTGTTTTCATGATTAGTGAATACCTACCATCGTGAATGCATGCCTTCCTGGAATACAGGCAGCATCACCTTTCCTTTGCATGCAGCTGTTGTGCAGGTCAGCCACTAGGACACATCTGACACAGGGAAGAGGTAATCTTTGTCATGAACCCTTCCCATTATGTTAGAAATCCTACACAAGTTGTCCTTTTTTTAATTAATCAGAGAGAAAACCTCTTTCAGTTCACAGATGGATTTTTTTGGAGAGGGAGATATAAGAGGCTTACTACCTGTTTGTCTAGATTCCTATTATTTGTGGTTCAGTTTCTGAAATAAATGTGATGATAAAGGTGATAAACATGTGTCCAGCTGTCAGATTAATAACAAAGAACAAATACTCCAAACATCACATACTCGAATTAATGGCTTTGACTACTGATGTTTAATCTACCAAATATAATTTGTTTATCAAATTTGCCATATACTATTATTACTAGGTCAATAAGATGAGGTGGGCAGCAACTTTTTAAACTACTTTTGAACAATTTGAGAGTACTTATTCATAGATCACATCTGTTTATCTGTGCTATCCGAAGATAGCATTGATATTTAGAATTCTATATTGGGATATTTTTCAACCCTTTTTTTTTCCTTTTTTAAAATTTAGCACTGTTAATACCATATTTATTTAAAAAAAACACATAGATGATAAAGGAGGTTCATGATTGAATAATGAAGTTTTGCAAGAAACTAAAAAGCATTGTGTTTTAGTTACTTTTATTCATCCAAAGTACAGGAATAAGTATCCTAAATATTGGCATGTTGCAATTAAGCATTTAGTTTATCAATGTTCCCTAAATAATGTACTTGCCATACACTATTATTTCACCATAGAATTACTCAGCTTGCAAGCATCTAACCCTTACACATCAGTAACTACTGTCACCTCTGTCCTGTGGCCTTGGGAGCCTTAATTGTAAAAAGTGGACTCTTGGAGAATTTGAATACCTGGGAGTAGCAAAGAAAAAATTTAAGAAAATTGGAATGATTACTTATTCAACCAATATTTATTGAATACCTACTGTATTCCAGGACTCCTTCTGAGTATTACATCAGTGAAGAGTAACAGACAAAAATTTGCCCTTGACAAAGATGGGGGCAGATTCTCCAGCACTACTGTGCTGAGCCATAGAGAACTAGAGCGTGACCATACACAATTCACACATGCACGCAAGCATAAAAACATTTTGCTACGTCACTTGAATTCATTTACATCCTTTTCTCTTAAATAATAAAATAAAAACCTGCATTTATAACCAGTTAACAAATCCATCTTAATCTCCTAGGAACTCTCCTTTAAAAAATATAAATACTTCCAGATAGGTTTATGGATTTTCGTTTTTTTCTACCACTTGAAACCCTGCAGTTAGATTGCTTTTCTCCTAACAACTTTGCTAGTACCACTTGCACTAAGAGTAGAAGTTTTTATTTTGAAGAGGAAAGGCAATGTTGAAGTTGGTGCTATTTACTTGGGGCATGGACAGCCTGACTCTAAATGCCTCAAAGAAAGGCATAAAAAAGAATGAAGGAAAGACACTGAATGAAAGACAGGGTGCAAAAACAATTAATGTCCATGCAGTAATATCTAATGCTTCACCTTAAAAAACGGAGGTGATTCTTCCTTTCATCCCATTTTTCTGTCATCCTTCTGATCTCCTGACTCCTTGTTTTGAGGGTCCACAGTTCAGACTTGTACACTCATTCTGAGGATCCACTGTTTCTCTGGTTTCCAAAGGGATACAAGCTCTGAGTTCTAAGCAGCTAAGCTTCCTGAACTTTTGGAGTATAACCTGTTTATAAACAAATAACTGCTCTAGGGCATTTATGTGCTCATTATAAACTAATCTGATCATAAAACAGAGTGCCTCTTAAGCAGCTCTTTCTTAGCCTAATTGTATTTATGCATATACTTGAAAATTGTAATTGTGTCTATGCACATATTCATTCAGTTCTCTAATTCAGCAAAACCTATACCATTGTCCTAAGGATGCAAGGTATCACTCTGCTGGAAATGTAGCTCTACTTCACATTTAAAATACAAGTTTCAATATTAAATAATTTCCTATTCAAAAAAATTATTTTCTATCTGTTCCTAATCCTTCACTGAATTGAAATTCTCCTGAGTTATTCCACTAAGGCAGAGATTGGGATATCACTGCTAGTTCACACTGGATTTGTTCAGTCTGTTTTGCATCCATGAAAGTTGTTTTTGGTGATAATGGTTGTGTAATGATGTGTGGAAATTTTGTGAGAAATATTTCCCCTTCTTTATTCTTCAAGTATTTTAATGTGTATGACAAGCAATATAAATTTTGTAGCTATGTTTTTGATTTCAGTGTTTAGTGGCTATCAGTAAGTTATAATTTTATTAATAAGTTTCACTATAAAATGGACCATGCAGGTGATCGAGGAAACATCTCAACATCTTCTAGACCAGCCTCTACATCAGGAAAATCAGAGCTGTCCTCTAAACACAGCAGATCACTTAAACCTGATGGACGTATGAGCCGGACTACTGCTGATCAGAAGAAGCCAAGGGGCACAGAAGGTTTATCTGCTAGTGAATCCCTCATCTTAAAATCTGATGCTGCAAAGTTGAGGTCAGATTCCCACAGTAGGTCACTGTCCCCCAACCATAACACCTTGCAGACATTGAAATCTGATGGGAGGATGTCTTCTAGCTCCAGAGCTGAATCCCCAGGACCAGGTTCTCGCTTGTCATCTCCTAAGCCAAAGACTCTCCCAGCCAATAGGTCTAGCCCATCCGGTGCTAGTTCTCCACGCTCCTCCTCACCACATGATAAAAATCTACCTCAAAAAAGCACTGCTCCTGTTAAGACAAAACTTGATCCTCCTCGTGAACGTTCCAAATCAGACTCTTATACACTTGATCCAGATACCCTCCGCAAGAAGAAAATGCCCCTCACAGAACCTTTGAGGGGACGGTCAACGTCACCAAAACCAAAATCAGTACCAAAGGATTCTAAAGATTCCCCTGGATCTGAAAATAGAGCTCCCTCTCCCCATGTGGTACAGGAAAACCTCCACAGTGAGGTGGTCGAAGTCTGCACCTCAAGTACGTTAAAAACAAATAGTCTAACAGACAGCACCTGTGATGACAGCAGTGAATTTAAGAGTGTGGATGAAGGTTCAAATAAAGTTCATTTTAGCATTGGAAAAGCACCGCTGAAAGATGAACAGGAAATGAGAGCATCCCCCAAAATAAGTCGGAAATGTGCAAATAGACACACCAGGCCCAAAAAAGAAAAGTCAAGTTTTCTCTTCAAAGGAGAGGGATCCAAGCCTTTAGAACCAGCGAAGCAAGCTATGTCTCCTTCTGTGGCCGAATGTGCCAGAGCCGTGTTCGCATCGTTCCTCTGGCATGAAGGCATAGTACATGATGCAATGGCTTGTTCTTCTTTCCTGAAGTTCCATCCTGAACTTTCCAAAGAGCATGCTCCTATAAGGAGTAGTTTAAATAGCCAACAGCCTACAGAGGAAAAAGAAACCAAGTTAAAAAATAGACACTCATTAGAAATATCATCTGCACTGAATATGTTTAATATTGCACCCCATGGACCAGATATATCTAAGATGGGTAGTATCAACAAAAACAAGGTGTTGTCCATGCTTAAGGAACCACCTCTGCATGAAAAATGTGAGGATGGGAAAACCGAGAGCACTTTTGAAATGTCCATGCATCATACAATGAAGTCTAAATCTCCTCTTCCCTTAACTTTGCAACATTTAGTGGCTTTTTGGGAAGACATCTCTTTGGCTACTATCAAAGCTGCTTCCCAGAATATGATTTTTCCAAGTCCTGGTTCCTGTGCAGTTCTTAAAAAGAAAGAATGTGAGAAAGAGAATAAGAAGGCCAAAAAGGAAAAAAAGAAAAAAGAAAAGGCAGAAGTTAGGCCCAGGGGTAATTTGTTTGGAGAGATGGCCCAGCTGGCAGTGGGAGGACCAGAGAAAGATACCATCTGTGAACTCTGTGGGGAGTCACATCCGTACCCGGTGACCTATCACATGAGACAAGCCCACCCAGGTAAAGGATACTGTCCAATGTACATAAAAGTACTTTTTTCTTTAATGAATGGGATCACTTCATTTGAGCTGTTCTATGAATTATATCAAAGGATAGAAAGTTTATAGTATCTTAGAACGTCATTTTTAAAGTACATTATCCATACAGGGTTTTGTGAAAAACAGATAAAAGAAATTCTAACAGTATGATGGCCAGGTCATTTAGTGCTATTTTACTTTCCTGTAGCATGTTTCAAAAAATTTTATGTGTTACACAAAGGGTGCCGTTAAGGTGTCTGTCTCACACAATAGAAACAATGGCATGACCGTACCCACAGGCCATCTCCTTTTATTTTAGTATTTTCCTGTTCACAATTGCAGACTAAATTAGATTATACTGATTTTTGTAGGCTGCTTCCTATGAAAGTGACATTGATTGATAAGAAGACTGCATTTTCAGTAAATGTAAGGATTTCTGTAACATTGATCAATAGTCCAAATTCACCTAGTACAAATTTGGTTAATTTTTTTCTTTGTCTACATATTATACCTCGAATGTTTTATCAATATGTGATTTCTGAAAATATATCATTGTTATAGAACTGTTATACTTGTTTTGTCTCATTTTATTGACATAATTAAGTATATCTAAATGTACCTGTATCCTATCTTTTTTTTAATCATTCTGAATAGAAACTAAGTATCTCTAATATTTTGGGCATCATTTAATTGATTGCTTTTGATCAGGTAACCTATTTTTCTGATATAGTTAGTAGCCTGAAAATCAGGTGTCTACTTGAGTATTTTGCTTTCTTTGAGACGGTCAATCTGTCATTAATGTACGAGTAGTAAGGATTAAACTATTAAGGCCACTTCAAGTGTTAAATATTTATTTTTGTTATTGTTTCAAGGTTGTGGCCGGTATGCTGGTGGACAAGGATATAATAGTATTGGGCATTTTTGTGGAGGATGGGCTGGTAACTGTGGTGATGGTGGCATAGGAGGAAGCACGTGGTACCTGGTATGTGATCGTTGTAGAGAAAAATACCTCCGTGAAAAACAGGCTGCTGCAAGGGAGAAGGTATTTGATTCCATTCGGAGCTATACTTTTAATGATATGGATACACTTTATAAAAATCGCATTTTGTGATCTTATTATTACGTCAGATAATTCCACATAGTTGATATTAAAGATCAGCTTCTACAGTGGAAATCATGTATAAATTTAATATTTGTACTAAGTCACCTGTTCATAAGTTTAAAAAATAGCTATATATTGGAATAACACTAGATAATTAACCTGTGCTACATACGCCTTATTGACAAATATGTGTTGTACCTCTTCATTATTGTCTGTTACTCTCTACATATACAGACCCTTCCTTTTCACCTTCCTTCTCTTTTCTCTTCCTCTTTTTTTGACTCCTTTATTTTCCTATTTCATATCTATTCTCTCTTTTCCTTATTCACCTTAGTGGCATACCTAACCAAAAAATTTTGCTGAATAACACACTAAGATGATTTACTCTTTTTAAAATGAATTATTTTTAGATTTAACTGGTTAGGTATTATATTTTTCTGAAGAAAGTAAGGAAGCATAGTTTGTGTTTGATACAAAATAGTCTCACTCAGCCCAGGACAAATATGAAGTAAATGTTGTCTTTTATAATCTTATTATTTTAAAATAGTTTTACAAGTGTTCAATAATTTTTAATGGGAAACTCAAAATACTTAGCTTAGGAAACCAAGGATTTTAATGTAAGTCAGGAAGGATCACTTTGATTTTTTTCTTTGCCAGGTCAAACAATCCAGGAGGAAACCAATGCAAGTCAAGACCCCCCGTGCCTTGCCCACCATGGAAGCTCACCAAGTGATTAAAGCCAACGCACTCTTCCTGCTGTCCCTGAGCAGCGCAGCAGAACCAAGCATTCTGTGTTACCATCCTGCAAAGCCGTTCCAATCTCAGTTGCCCAGCGTGAAAGAAGGCATTTCTGAGGATCTGCCTGTGAAAATGCCCTGTCTCTACCTGCAGACATTAGCTAGGTAATAAAATTTTGGTTTTTCTTTTTTTTAATCACCTGTGGATTAACGGTGATTGTTTACTGACCTACACTTCATTAGATGTGGTACTATAAAGAAACTTCCAGGCATTTGTTTGAGTTTCCTTGACTGACATACGACTTTATGGTAATAGGTATTTTAAAAACTATAAAAATGCTTCATCAATTTGCATTGTTACGAATAAAAAATATGTCTTAGAAAATAAGACTGTAGCTATCTTTTACTCTTTGGTAGGCTGACTTCAGTCTGTTAGTGGGAAATGCTGAAGTAGAAAGAAAGTGATGTTTCCTGTAGCAGACTTTTATTTTGTAAATTATTCATTCTGTTAGCATTTAAATGAGTACCAGTATTAAATTAGCACCAGTATTGTGCTAATGAATGAATGAGTATAACAAAAAAAAGGTCCTGAATGAATGAATATAACAAAATCCTGGCTTCTGTGTACTCATACTCCGATGTCAAGTCAGGCATGTCAGTGAAACATTTGAAATGCTGTGTGAGAAGTGCTACAATAGAAGCATGTATGTAGGGTGTTAGGATTTTGAGACGGTCTGTTCACAGGATCCTTAACTCTGGTGTCTTGAGGTGCGTCCTGTGACATCCTCCAGATGTTTTCTTAAACCCCTTCTCCTTACACTCCTTTAGCATTTCTGCTCTTCCCTGCCATTGTCCCATTTCCTCCTTGAGAGTTGGTCCATTTCTGAAACATTGGTGGGGTGCCCTTCAAAGTCTGTTGGGCAACAAATACTAAGCCCTGTAAGGTCAGCAAAAGGTTAATTGGTTTCTGTATCAATCTATTTAACAACAATTTTTAACATTCAATCTATTTAACATTCAGTTTTTTGAATGTGCGGTATATTAACGTCCAGAAGTAAAGATAGAGGGTAGCTACCCTTCTCTAAGTAAGTTCATGTAACCCTGTGAGGGTACCCATCTCCCCCGGGATGGGAGGTTCTTGGCCTCTCTAACCCCAAAGAATGGAGAAAGGGGGGTTGGAGGCGTGGTGACTTTGCCTTTCAAATAAATATCGTGGACCCAAAGAGTTTTGTTGAAAAGTGATTTATTAGACAAAGAGAGAAAGAAGACCACTCCCACGCTATCATGGGAGGGGACCCCAGAGAGGGAAATCCTATAGGTAAGGAGCAGCTGAAGTTTTAACCCTTGAATTATTCCCTCCCCATTCATGTTCTCGTCCAATGAGAGAAGTTCTTTCAAACTTCCTCTGGAGAAATTGATCTTTGACATCAGATTGGCTACTTGGTACACAACTCTTTGAGTTACAGAGTCCCGTCCTCCCAGAGCTTTTGGCGGATTTTGGGACAAAAGAGCCCCTCCTGGCTTTCCCTACCTGGCCCAGGCACCCGAAAATCAGACAATTTTATATTTGAAACCCTTCTGGTCCCCGGATGGAGGCGTGGAGGTGCTGCTCAAAGGAAATACCAGCATTTGAAACCATGCCCCTCATGGACCTGGGAAAAGAAGTCCCTTATTCGCATAGAAGTAAAGGCATTCTCAGAAAAATGCAGGTAAAGTTTTAATGAAACGACCCAGCAGCTAAGACTTAGAGAGGAAAGTTGAGATTCCTGACTCCAAAGGAAGGAAGGAAGGTTAAGGGTCATGGTTTCTCAGCACCCCGGGCAGGGTTTATCATACAGAGGAAGATGTGTGTATGTTGGGCATTGATCTGACAGCCATATAGTTTCAGAAAGATAGTTCCTTTCCCTTTACCCTTCCTTCAGTTGATCAGAATTTTATAGTTTCTTTATTATTTGCACTATGTAAATATTGTTACTCTTACCAAATAGTATCTGATGATGACATTTTGTATTATATAACTTTTTGTTTTCCATGGAGTGTTATTTTTTAAAAGTGTTAGTTTTTCCATGTCTAGGTCAATCTTCCCATGATGTACAAAAGCTCTGTCAAATGTTCCCAGTAAGTAACTTATCTCTTAAAAGAAAAAAAAACGAAAAGGAAAGGAAAAAAGAAAAGTATGATGTAGGATGCTGTTAGAGCATAAAAGATGGGGAGTATCTGAATCTTCCCAAGGAAATCAGGAAAGCCTTCCCAGAGGGTCTGACCCTTTAGTAGAATCTTAAAGGATAAATGGAAATCTATCAGGCAGGTGCTGGGAAGAAAGCAACTCTTGGGAGAATAACCTAGGTGAGCAAAGACACAAATCTCATTACACATTTGAGGAATCATGGGGTTGGTAAAGCGCTGGCTACTGAAGGAAATATGTGAAAGGCCATTCAAAGTGGTTAACCCAAGTAATGTTGGGCCCTGTAGCCCAGATTAAGATTGCATTTTATCCCATGAACAGAGGAAACTGGAAGGATTTTAAACAGAAATAAATGAACTGGTTTGCAATTAAAAGATCACTGTGGAATATGGAAGCTCATGTGGAGACTAGATAAAAGTGTGTTACTGGAGGTAAAGAGAAACCTGTTAATAATCTATTTTCGAATATTGGACTTGAATGGTGCAGCCTATACTTTCAGATATTATGCACTGACACTCCAAAACAGCCTTTCATATGCCAAAATCAGATTTTTTTCGTCAGCTGACAAATGAAGATATCCAGGTATTGCCTGCTGACATGGCTTGCCAACCAACAGTTCCATTTTGGAAAGTATCCTCTTTGTTAGCGGAGTTGTATGGTTTTTAAAATTTAATGCTTACTATTGCAGTAAAATGAATAAGCAACAAAAATGAAAATATGAGACTAAGTACACATGAGACTGAGGTGGAAATCATCAGGTATGCCAAATACAACAGATCTTTAGTGTGAGTCACACCACTCAGTGGACTTACGTTAGCAACTGTTCATTCATTTTGAAAAGGAAAGAATCAAACTGTAAAACGTGAAAAATGCTAACTTAGCATAATTATAGATTTTTTTTTTTTTTTAGCTCTCTGGGGAATGGGCACCCACTCCACCCTGAGCCACAGACTTCATATATCTAATATTTTTTGAATATGATCTTATATATGTTCCTACCCAAAAAGTAACTGCCTATATTTCAGTGATCTGTACAAGAAATAATAAGCATGAACCAAGGCGGTGGTGATGGGGAATGAGAAGAGAGAATGACTGTGAGAGGAAACCTAGTATCATGGGCTTGAAAGATGGCGATGGTTGAGGGCTAAGCCTAGGACAGCACTGGAAATATTTTATCTTAAGCACCTGGATAGTTGGTGGGATCATTCACCAAAAGAATGGAAGATGGAAAAGTTCTCAGAAGGAAAATTAGTTCAATTTTGATTTTGAAACGTTTGTGGTACCTGGAATATCAATGAATAAAATTATCAGACTTGTATTTTCACCTGCCTACATCTATGATTATTTTAACACTTTGCCTTTAATTATGATTTACATGTGCTGCTTTTCCTGTCATGAAGGAGATTAAAAATGGAGGGAATCTGTATGGCCATCATACTTTTAAGTTATTGGGTTTGATTTAATGCAGGCATCATCATGAAAATTTTGTGGGCTATCAAGATGACAACCTATTCCAGGATGAAATGAGATATCTACGTTCAACATCTGTACCTGCCCCGTATATATCAGTAACTCCTGATGCAAGTCCTAACGTATTTGAGGAGCCAGAGAGCAATATGAAGTCTATGCCACCAAGGTATTTTAGTTCTCTCCTGTCTGTTGAATAGCTAGTGTTTGGTGGAAGAAAGACTTTGAACTAGAAAAGAGGCCTGTAGAAGTTCTTTAATACATCTGTGAGTCAGCTCTGCTAACTCTTGAAGCAGTAAGGAAAAGCATACATGTTCATGACTAAGGTAAGGTCCTTAAGGGGAAAGGCAGACTAGTTGGAGAGAAGAGATCAGTTTAATGAAGGAATTAAAGATTACATTATATGATCCGACTTAATGCTGTAGTAAATCAGAGTAGGGAAGGGTTACTTTGAGTTTTCTTGGGAGCAGTGTCACCGAAAATAAATCTTAAACTTCTTGGATTATTGTTTCCAGTTGAAATTGGAAATCTTATAGATAATTCTATTTTCTACAACTGTGTACTGAATTAGAGCAAGTCTGAGGTTCCAGGGAGTGCTAATACAGAAATGAGATGACACCCAACTAGGTAGAATAATCCCTGGTATAGAATATTAAATAAATCTCCATTTATATCTGGGAGGGGAATAAAACCTGTCAAATATGATAAGAAAGGAAATCTAGGGAAATCTGCTCCTACTTTATCAGAACGAACAACAGAATGAAACAGAGCTGCCCACTTTAAGTATTAGCAAAATAAAAATAAATAGTATGTAATGTAAACGTCAGAGAAAAAACCCAATATGAAAGAAAACTCAAAGAAAAGAAGAAAATTCCCTGAGTACTATGTAGTACTTGCAAATTTGATAATGGTGTAAATTTAATCAAATGAAAGTTCAAATGTAAGACACATAAAAAGCTAAGAGGAACAGAGTGAAGACCAAATCAACACCATCATAAAACTAGTAAATTAATTAGAAATGTTTAGAGCAACAAATTGAATTATTGACATAAATTTGAGATTTATGTCAGGTTTGAGATCATCACAATGAGCAAAAAAAAAAGGACAGAGATTATAGCAATGAGAGCAAAGATGACAGATATGAGAAACAGGGCAATAAGAATAACTACTGTCTTTGAAGCAGAAAAACCAACAAATACCATTAAAACCTTGCTTAAGCTATACTATTTTTTTAAATCCTCAAAAAAGTACTGAATTTCCAGATTTTAAGAAAATTTTTATAAGTAACTAAAGAAAATACCTTGAGTTAGCAAAACTCCAAGAAATAAAAAAGGCATTTCCAAGTACCTGAGCAGAGATAAACAAGTCATCTTGCAAAAGCAGTTAGGTTGTGAATTTAAGCTTCTATATAGCAACTCTGAGTTAAAGAAAAAGTGAAACAATGTCTCCAGAGCTCCAAAAGAAAGAAAACATTACCTTTGAAGTTTTATCCAATGTCAGGCGCACTCAAATATAAAAGCTCTTGAAAACATTATGATTTTCTTAAAAAGCACAGCTCTTTCACAAAATCCATGATTAATTGTATGTTAGTCAAATGAATCAAATGACTAATGAGAAGCATAGTTTTAAAGACTATGCAGTATATAGTGAAAATGTAATGGAACCAAAGCCTGGAAGTACAATGTTTACAAAATCCTAAAGAAAAGAAACTGTGACCTAAGGATTTTATATTCAGTTAGGTTGAAACATTCTGAAACATACAATAATCCAGGAAATAACGGCATTTTTGAGTTACTGAAAAAACATCTTGACAAACTCAAGTTATTTAAAAAAGTGATGGGCCGGGCGTGGTGGCTCACGCCTGTAATCCCAGCACTTTGGGAGGCCGAGGCGGGTGGATCACGAGGTCAAGAGATCAAGACCATCCTGGTCAACAAGGTGAAACCCCGTCTCTACTAAAAATACAAAAATTAGCTGGGCATGGTGGTGTGCGCCTGTAGTCCCAGCTACTCGGGAGGCTGAGGCAGGAGAATTGCTTGAACCCAGGAGGCGGAGGTTGCGGTGAGCCGAGATCGCACCATTGCACTCCAGCCTGGGTAATGAGCAAAACTCCGTCTCAAAAAAAAAAAAAAAAAAGTGATGAGGGCCAGGCATATTGCCTCACCTATAAATCCCAGTTCTTTGGGAGGCTGAGGCGGGAGGATTACTTGAGGCAAGGAGTTGGAGATCAGCCTGAGCAACATAGCAAGAGCCTGTCTCTACCAAAAAAAAAAAAAAAAAATCAAAAATTAGCCAGGTGTGATGACACATAACTGCAGGCCTACCTACGGTGGAGGCTGAAGCAAGAGGATGGCTTCAGCCTAGGGTTTTGAGGTTACAGTGAGCTATGATTGTGCCACTGCACTCTAGCCTTGGTGACAGAGCAAGACCCCATCTGTTTAAAAAAAAAAAAAAAAGTTGATGAATAAATGAATTTATTAAATCTGTGGTTCTCAACTTGGGGTAATATTTGCCTCCCTTTTGACATCTGGCAATGTTTGGAAATACCTTTGTTTGTCACAGCTGGGCTAGTTGGGTGGACATCCTAGTGAGTAGAGGCCAGGGATGTTGCTAACCATCGTACAGGAGGCAAGACAGCCCCTGCAGCAATGGCCCAGGGTAGCCATTGAATTGAAGATGTCATCTTTTGCTTTCTTTGGATTTTCTCGTGTTGCTTGAATTCTTTCACAGGCATTATTATTTTTGTAAGAACAGTCACTTTTTAAATTTGTGTAATGATTTTTTTTAAGTTAGTAGGAAACTTCATCTGAAAACAAGAAGTATCAGTGCTTTATAGTAACACCATCTATAAAGTGAATTAAATTAATGTTTCCCTATATTCTAGTCATCCTGGAACCAAACAGCCTATACTAACATCCAGGGACATTTACTGTCAATCAGTTATGTACAGTATTTATAGTCTATTCAAACAAGAATATATGTAAGCTTAGAGAAGTGGTGAGTAAAGAAAACACCCAGGCAGTGCAGTTAGCCACCTATTAGAAAATAGACAACTTTGCCAAGATACACAGGATTTCTGACATGGTTTGAACAATGGAAAGTACTCCAGAACCCAAGGCGAGCAAAAATATTCCAATTTGAACTGAGGTGACAGAAAAAGGAGCTCATGAAAAGAATAGTTTCTAAATTTGTTTTAGAGAAATGAGAAGGGATTTCTCTATTTTATAAAATGTCTCAATAAAGGAAATTATATAGCTCTCAGTAACTGTTTACATGTTTTTATGTTGTTTCAATAAATAGAAAAGCTGTTAGTTTACTTAAACCCGAATAAAACCATTAAGTTATTTTATAGAGTGCAAGTATAATACAACACTTATGCCAAAAATCAGTTTATTACTTCTCATTACACCTTGATGCAGCCATTCTCTGTGGGCTTTGGGCAGCATTTCCCAGGAGAGAGAAACCTAACAGAACACTGAAGTACCAAAAGAAAACTTTGGAACCAAATTTTACTTTCTATTTTATTAGGTTTTCATGTGTACATATCCTTTTTCTTTCTATTTGGTGCACTTATGATCATATCTACCTGTTTTTCCTGAATGTTATGACACATGAACTCCACTCCAATGCTTTTGATTTTAAAAGGATCTTAGAAGCCTTTTTCTTCATTTTCATTTAAAATGCAAAGTAGATTTAAGAAAACCACAAGTTTTAAGATACAATGCTGAAATCAGTCAAAATGTTACTGCATTTGAAAGATCAAATTATGATTTAAAGAGAGATTGTCAATTTGGCTTTGATTTTGTTTCTCCGCATGAAACTGATTCACATATTTGCCTACATTATTATAAGTATAGTTACATTTCATTCAGTTCTTCTGAGTTTGTATCTGTCCTCTTGTTCCATCTACAGTTTAGAAACCAGTCCCATAACTGATACTGATCTTGCAAAGAGAACTGTCTTCCAAAGATCATACTCAGTTGTTGCTTCTGAATATGATAAACAGCACTCCATTTTACCTGCACGAGTTAAAGCCATTCCTAGAAGAAGAGTTAACAGTGGAGACACTGGTAAGTATGAGGACAAAAAAGAATATTGAGTGATCTATTACAGATAAAAAAGAAAATGGTTTTATCTGCAGATAATTTTTAAATTTTAATTTTTGAAGGAAAAGGCATAGGATAATTTCTAATGTATGACTGACATTCCTTCTGTGTGACACAGCTATGAATGTACATCTCTAAATTGTGCATCTCAGTTGAAGGGAAATCTGGAGATCATTCAGTGATTGTTCAAGAATAAATTGACCTTTACCATCTTACTTGTTAGGTATCTAAGCCAAATGTTACAACCATTATCCCTTTCACTAAACTTTTGTGGACCAGGAATTCCAATGATGTACACATTCACAGTTCTCTCTCCACCCCAAAAGAAGCTTATAACTCTTGTAGCTGTCATCATTCTAAGTAGATAATAAAACTTTGGGGATATGAATAGCCCTTAATCAGTTAAAAAAGAAAAGAAAAAAGAGAGAGAGTTACATGATCTGATCTGGACCAGTTGGTTTCAATAGCCCCAAATTGGGGCTGAGGATTCTACCTCAAGAATTATTAAAGAAACCCAAGAAAAACAGGATAATACAGTGATAAATGATCAGATAGATCACTTGCTAAAAGGAAGCTTTGGCCTAAAAATTATAGTCAGATGATTAAGTATCTTATTGCAGACTTCTAAGGAAAAATGCCCAGCAATTTGTAGGTTCATTCAATAAATATTTTTTACTTCCTATTGAGACATGTTTCTTACAAAGCCATCTTTTAGAAAGTGATGCACGTAAGATATAGATTGCATTTAAAGAGAATATGAATCACTTAGCTTTCAGAGTATTTTAGAAATGTAAACTTTAGATTTAGCTCTGAATTCAAAACTCACCTGTACAACTTAATGGCTGTATGATTTTCAGAGGGTAACATACTTAATCTTTCTGAGCCTTGATTTCTTCCTCAGTAGAAGCTGAAATTGTTATGATTTATGTCATGTGCAAAAAACAAAAAGCAACAACAAAGGCTCTAAAGCGAATGTGCTAGATACTATTATTAAATATATATGCACTGCATATGAAATTAATAATTTTCTTTTTCTTTAATAGAAGTTGGTTCTTCCCTCTTGAGACATCCGTCTCCTGAGCTTTCTCGGCTAATCTCAGCCCACAGCTCTCTTTCTAAAGGAGAACGAAATTTCCAGTGGCCAGTTTTAGCTTTTGTTATACAACATCATGATCTAGAAGGTCTTGAAATAGCAATGAAACAGGCCCTAAGGAAATCTGCTTGTCGAGTTTTTGCTATGGAGGTATGAGTACATTAATGAAATTACTGATTCATGCATTTAATGATGCCACTTTTTTACCAACAGAAATTGTGTGAAATTAAAAAACATTAGCCAATTAAAAGCATCAAGTGTTCATATAAAATTAGACTCTAAGGTTTATGAATATAAACAAATTTAGAATTTCATATTTAAGCACTCTAAAGAAATGTATTTCTATATTGCTTTACTATTTGAATTTTGAGGTTATCTATTTTTAAAAGCTTTTTGCACTCAGCATCTCATTTTATTAGAATGAAATGACAGAGTAATCATAAATTGACCAGTGATTACTTCTCTGGGCCTTCGTTCTCTGGAAATAGTAGAATTACTGTATATCAGAGGCCTATATATAGTAAATATTTTTATTGAGTATGATAAATAACCTACCATAAGTAAATGTTTGCTTGTGCAGAGCTTGAGATACACTTTGTATTCATCCAAATGCAAGTGGGAAAAAATGTGCTTGAATAAATTAATATTAAAAAGAATTTTTGAAGTAAAAAGTGGTTTGAAAAGGTATTTTTGTAATATATTTTAGAAATTATTTTCTCTATTATTTTTTAAATTAAAACACCCAAGTATTAACTGTTTCAAGTTCTGTGTGCTTTCAGTGAAATAAAGGTCAGATTTTTAAGGAGCCAAGCATGGTAGCCCATGCTTATAATCCTAGCACTTTGGGAAGCCAAGAAGGGAGGATCACTTGAAACCAAGAGTTTGAGACCAGCCTGGGAAACATCATGAGACCTCATTTCTGAAAAAAAAAAAAAAAAAAAAAAAAAAAAGTTTTAAAATCAGCTGTGCTTGGTGGTATGTGCCCGTAGACCCAGCTACTTGGGAGGCTGAGGTGGGAGGATCACTGTGCCTGAATGATGGAGGCTGCAGTGAGCCATGATCACACCACTGTATTCCAACCTGGGGGACAGAGCAAGACACTGTCTCTTAAAAAGAAAAAAAAAAAAAAAAAGTAAAACTGTAAGGTATTACTTTTTTTAATTTAAAAAAAGAAATTTTCTAGTATCTTTCTTTGAACCCTTTATCCATGGAGGTACTTTGTTTCTGAGTACTTTTTTATTTTATTTTTATCTTGAACTCATTTAACTGTTACTTATTCAGGCTTTCAACTGGCTTCTGTGTAATGTCATCCAAACCACGTCTCTCCATGATATTCTGTGGCATTTTGTGGCATCACTGACTCCTGCACCAGTGGAACCAGAGGAAGAAGAAGATGAAGAAAACAAAACAAACAAAGAAAATTCAGAACAAGTAAATGAGATTTTTAATTTGTTTTGATAGTATATTTTTTATAGAAACTGGCACTGTATCTTCATATAGTCTAATTTGCATGCAATCATTCGCAGATCTAACTAACTTGAAAGCAAAAAGAATATTTTAGTGCTATGGGCAAAGTATTAATAATACTTAAGGAAAGTTTTGTCTCTAGCAGAAATGCTGACAGTTACATCTGATTTCTCACTAAATACCATTTATAAAGCGATCAACTGGATGATATATACTATTACCATACAATATATGATAGATAAACAGCAGCATTATTACCTAGAGATTCAATCTCATTTTCAACATTTTTATAAAATTGAATGGTAAAAATGATACTCTTCAGGAACATGCAATTCAAAGATGCTTGTTTAGCTTGAAGAGACCTGGATTTTATAAAAAGCACCCCTATATAACAGACAGAGCATTGAACTAAGGCACTAGGAGCCTGAGTTCAGCCTCATTTCTATCCTGTTGTAGTTGTATGACTTGTAGGCCTCAGTTTCCATGACTGTAAAATGAAAGAGTAATCTAGGTGGCATTTATCATATTTCCAAGCACTCTGAAATTATGTGAATGACATTTTAGGATAATTTTCAAGGATATCAAGCATCATTATCATAGTCAAATTCTTAAAAGTCACAAGGAAACAAGATATCATGAGCAAGAACTACCAAAAGCAATAGGCAGCAGAAATAGATCCTCAGCAGTTTCAGTGGTTGTGATTATCTATGTAAATGTAGAATAATGTGTTTAATATGCTTAAAGAAATAAGTGAGAAACTTTATGAGAAGAAATTTTAAGAAGAAATAGAATGACAGATTTGGTGAAGAACTAAAGAAAACATGTAAAAATTAATATAAGTATATTTTTTAAAAAACAATCAGTTTTAAGATTTTATAGCATGTCAGTGAAGAAATTGGTTAAATATAAGAGACCTGCAGAAATTATCTAGAATTCAGCACGGAAAACAAGCAAATAAAAAAATACAAGTTGCTAAGAATAATGAAGGGTAAAATGATGTATAACACTTACCTAATTGGAGTCCCAGAAGGGGAAGATAGAATGGAAGAGAGACACTATTTAAGAGTTAATACTTGAGAATTTCCCAGAATTGATTACGGATAACAACCCATTGAGTCAAGAGGCCCAGTAAACCCCAACCAGAATAAATACAAATAATGGTGAGCAAATTATAGTGAATTAGCTGAACACCAAGAACAAAGAAAGAGATCTTTTAAGCAGCCACAGGAAAAAACACTACCTTTCAAAAGAGGGACAGTGAGAATAATAGCTTAATTTTCAATAGCAACATTACAAGTTAAAAGACTGAATTTGATTAAAAGGCTGTCAGTTGGTTATTTTCAATGTACTGAAAGAAAATACCTGTCAATTCAATTGAATGGTCTTTGAAGAACAACACCAAAGACATTTCCAGAATAAAAACTGAGAGAAATGGCTATGGAGTGTCAGTGAAGAGAAAAGAAAGTGTAAATATGAGGATATATCTTAAAAAATATTGACTATGTAAAAAGCAATGATATGTCATGGTGATCTACAAAATGGTAAAAGACCAATTCTATATATGTATCTACCTAATAGTATAACCTTAAAAATATTAAGAAACAATTGACAGACTGCAAGGAAAAATAGGACAGTCTGCAGTTACAATCTGAGATTGTCATACATCTGTAACAGCTATCTGTTCCTGCATAACCACCCCAAACCCACTGGACTAAAACCGTTGTTCGTTAGCTTACTGTCTCTGGGTTGGCAATAGCAGCAAGCCTCCACTGAGGGGAATGGCTCTTTTCTGTTTCAGTTACTTAGTGTGCTTCAAGTGGTACTCCCTGAGCTCTTTTATCCGCCAGGATGCTGCCTTGGGTTTGTTCAGATGCCAGCAGCACCCAAGAAAGAGAACACAGAAGCTGCAAAGCCAAAATGGCCAAGACTAAACACCTATATCATGCTTCTGCCACCTTCTGTTAGCCAGTGTAATTCACAAGACCAGTCAAATGCAAAGACTGAGAAATAAACACCTGTTGATGGGAAGAGCGGCAGACAATTTGCGGCTGTTTTGTGCATAGTACCATAACACTCTTGTTAGTACTGGATAGGTCAGGCAAACAAAAAGAATCAGAAAGTACACAGATTTGAATGATTGACAGTCTTGATAGAATATACAGAACATTGCTTGTAGTTGTTCACATTCTTTTCAGATACACCCAAATGTCTATGAAAATTGACTATTTACTGGGTATGTAAGACAAGTTTCAACAAACTTTAAATAATGGTTTTCTTCCTACCGTGTCCTCAGTCTTTATTGCTAGTATATAAGAATTAGATAACAAAACAAGAAAAATATTTATATGGGAATTAAATACTTCCAAATGAGTTGCATCAAATAACTATAATAGAAAATATTTTAAATGGAATGGCAATAATAGTACACCTCAAAACTTGTTGTTTGGCAGAGTTCTAGTTATAGTTATGATGAAACAGCCAGTGTCAGGATTAGTTCTCATAGTAAACAACAAAAAGCTGAGCAAAATATTTAAAACAATTGTTCATAGGCTATGAGCAGTGACCAGTACAGAGCTACAGTCCTTGAGAGAAGGAAAGTACATGAGGTAAGCCCACAATCAGAGAATGTCAGTTGTGTTGGGCAGAGATCAGTGTAGGACTATAACTTTGGGATGCAAGAAGCAGGGCACCAGTGGTACAGAGCTGCAGAAAGAAGTCTAAAATTTTTACATAAAAATATCCCTGGCGTTCTGGCCACTATTAGACTGGGCATGCAATAGCAGTAGAAATGAATTGTAAGCTAAGAACTGAACAGATTCTTAGCTTTAGAGCTGGGTTCTGAAGTTCTAGCACAACCAGAGGTGGGGTGAGTATGATGAATGCTCCTGGCATGAATACTGCATGGTCCCAGAAAGGCCATACCCGAGGAATGTAGACCATTGCCTTAGGAGTAAGGACAGTGCCTAAAATCAGGGCAAAGCTGAAATAACCCCAGTCTAACAGTGTCAAATGCCAAGCTTGATGGAATGTACATGGCCTGCTCTTTCCCTGTAAGAACAAAACTACATTCTTTAGAAGAAAAATAAACCAGAACTTCTATATCAGTAATCAACAGATGTACAAAGAAGCAGGCAAAAATCAACCGTCTTTTACTTAGCTCAGTGACATAGTTTAAAAGTTCGATGGGCTTATGTTGGTAGCAAGATGGAAGAACACACATTCTTTGCTGTGGAGTAGCAGCTTCTTAGAGAATAGTGTGTGGTAAGATCTATCAAAATTCACATTAAAAATAATTCTGTAATTCCACTTTTATGAATTTCTCCTTATCATAGATGTATGTGTGAAAAGAAAAATATACAAGTTGATTCATTGCAGATGTTATATAAAAACAAAAGATTGGAAACAACCAAAATGGCTGTTCTGAAGTGGACTGATGAAATAAACTATGGTGTTTTTATTCATCAGAATACTATGCAATAGGATAACATACATTACATACATATCTAATAAGTAATAATCTCAAAGATAAATTGTTTTAAAAAAAGTACAGATCGGTTTGTTTAGCGTGCTGTCATTTGTGTAAAGGAGCAATATTTATAGACAGTCCAAGAAACTGGTAATAGAAATTGCCAGTGGGAGAGCACCTACATAGCAGGGCTGTAGAGACAAGGAGACTTTTTATGGTATTTTTTTATAGCTCTTGAATATTTTATTAGGATGTATATTACCTACTCAAAATAATAAACATGAGATGAAAAAGCAACTATGAAATTTGGATCATGGTAGGTAGGCTGTAATAGTAGTAACTTTTGTTATTAAACAGATCAAGTCCTAGATACTATGTGCAAATTATCGGAAATAACTAAAAACAGTCACTGCTTACTAAGGGTGTTTTATGATCCATTATGATATAACCATGACATCATATTTTTCTTTCTAAAAGTAAGTGCTTTAGTAGAAATATTTATTTGAATCACAAAGGAAGGAAGAAATTAGTTTCAATTAGGTGAAGTGAGGCAAGTTACTCTAAGCACATGCTACAGGATAGATTTTGACTGCAATATACACAGTATTCCCCAAACAGAAGAAACACCATGACTGATGTCTTCTGGAAAGGTAAATCATCTGACTGAAAATGTGTTCAATGGAAAGAAAGGCTTTTTTTTTTTTTTTTTTTTTGAGAGTCTCATTCCGTTGCTAGGCACCAGGCTGGAGTGCAGTGGCACAATCTTGGCTCACTGCAACCTCTGCCTCCTGGGTTCAAGCAATTCTCCTGCCTCAGCCTCCCAAGTAGCAGGCACATGCCACCACACCCAGCTTATTTTTGTATTTTTAGTAGAGACAGTGTTTCACCATGTTGGTCAGGATGGTCTGGATCCCTTGACCTTGTGATCCTCCCGCCTGGGCCTCCCAAAGTGCTGGGATTACAGGCGTGAGCCACCGCACCTGGCCAGAAAGGCATATTTTTTAAGTTGCTTGAATGGACCTTAAAATTTCATGTCAAGATATAAACAAGACTTTTTTAAAAAAACCATTGAATGGTAATTTTTTTCCCTAAAATCCCCCAAAAAAGAAAGTCCAACACCTATTAAAACAAGAAAAGACCTGGTAGTTTATAAGCCAGTTCTAGCCCTCAGACATTTTTGACCTGCACAGTTGTTTTTTTTTGTTTGTTTTGTTTTGTTTTTAAGGCCGTATTTTTAAATGGAGATATTTTACTTCTGCCACTGCAATTAGCTGATAAATTTGCTTTGAATTTCTGCCTTAGAAGGATTCATGAATATATGAATACGCTGTCATAGATACAGAGATCTGGCCGTCGCGGGCTTCGGCCTATGTGGGAACACTTGGCTTGAGCAGGCAGGCGCTGTCCTATTCCAGCGGCTGCACATTGGCCCCTGCTCTCCTGCTTGTGCACTGCTCCCCTCCCCTCCTACTCCACCCCCTGCTGGTACCTGCTTAGCTATGCAATGCTTGCAACATACCTACCTAGTGCTCTCTGAGGGTCCAGCTTTATCAGTTGATTTTGATCGGTTTCTTGATATTACAAAATCTCCTTTCTTTGGGAATATAGATTACTTTGTTAGTTTCCTGTTATAAAATTTATTCCATAGATAATATTTTTAATGGAGTCATCTGAGAGTTTGACTGAGAAATGAAATTCAATTCCTGCTTCTTTTTCCTAGCTGTGGTCCATCGGCCCAGAAAGGAGCTTTTTATTCTAATTCATGAATTTTATTCAACATCATGAAAATGTTGTAAGTGTTAGTGGCCACCCCAACTTCTAAACATACGTTATTTTTTATACATAAACATACACACAAAACATACCCACTTATATGTATGTGTACATATACATACATGTATATGCATACTACACATACACATGCATATATGTATGGATTCACCCAGAGATACATTTGTGAGCACACTAGAATTGATGATTCATTTGCATGCTGATTTTATTTGTGACTAAACTTACAGCTTTCTCCCTAAAATAATGCAAACACAATTAATTGAAATTACTATATGTTCTGAGTACAATTTGGTTTTGTTGTTTATATTTCTGTTACACAACTATTTTTAAAGTATACATGATAGTCTTTTGTGAAGAAGATTCCTTCCAGCACGTACACTGATAAACTTGTTTCGATTTCTGCCTTAGGAGAAAGACACAAGAGTGTGTGAACATCCGCTGTCCGACATAGTGATTGCCGGGGAAGCTGCTCATCCTTTACCGCATACCTTTCACCGCTTGCTTCAGACCATCTCAGACCTTATGATGTCTCTCCCCAGTGGCAGCTCATTACAGCAAATGGCCCTGAGGTAAATTTGTATCCTCGTATCCTAGGCACATTGGACAAGAGAGTTTATGGAATATTCAAAGTATGAAATGCTCTAAAAAAGCTCTTTACATAGTAAGATAGAAAGAATTTCTACATTATATAGATGGTGCCTCCCTCCTTACAGTCATAATTTTTAGAATGGTCCTTCCTTTTGGTTAATGGTGGTTTGCCCTTCTGTTAAATGTGACTCATGTACTTCTTAGTGCTCTGAATTATCTCTGTGACAGTCTCCCTCACTTTCCCCTTTTGCCTATTTCAAATCACCTAACTATTCCAAGAAGAGAATGGGAAAATGAAATCTCAAATACAAAAACCAAAATAGAGTTTTGACTTGAAAAGAATCTTAGGAAAAACAGCCTGGTTATATGCTGGCTAAAATCACCTTAAGAAGCATCACAGATGCTCAGCAGATTCCAATTTCAGTTTGAAATGTGTTCAGAATTTCACATTGCCCTTACACTGTGAACCTTGTTATTAGATTCACACACTGGACTCACACTTATAAATAAATTCTCCTAATTTCTAGTATAAGAAATAAGTTGATGGAATGATTGGGCTTCCCATATTCCTAATGATAAGACCAGTGGAAGAGAGATTTCTCTTTGTCCTGCTCACAAGATTTTTGAAATACAAGATACATCACACCCTGATGAATTAGTATGGCATTGTAAGATTAACAAATTTGAAGGGTTGTTACAGTTGTGTAACACTTGTTTACACGACAGATTCATTACCCTTTTTGCATCTGTAGCCTTGATCTTCATCTGTCTAATTTGTTTATATTTAAAATGGGTCAACTTTCCTTAGAACTTACGTTGTTCTGAAGAAGTTACCTTTATTTCTCAAAAACAGAAACAGGCCAGATGTGGTGGCTTACGCCTGTAATCCCAGCACTTAGCGAGGCCAAGGCAGGTGGATCATGAGGTCAGGAGTTTGAGACCAGCTTAGCCAAGATGGTGAAACCCCGTCTCTAATAAAAATACAAAATTAGCTGGGTGTGGGTGACGGGTGCCTATAATCCCAGCTACTTGGGAGGCTGAGGCAAGAGAATCACTTGAACCCTGGAGGCGGAGGTTGCAGTGAGCCGAGATCGTGTCATTGCACTCCAGCCTGGGTGACAGAGCAAGACTCCATCTCAAAAAATAAGTAAGAATGATTTTCTTACCTGCATTTTAAAAATTTCTGTATTTTACTAGAGCATTAAGAGTTCTTGACATATTAGCTACAGAGTGTTCATTTAAGAGTTCCTTAGACGTTCCTAGAAAATAATTATTTCATATCCTGCTTCTATATCACCTTTTTAGGTGCTGGAGTCTCAAATTCAAGCAATCTGATCACCAGTTCCTTCATCAGAGCAATGTCTTTCATCACATTAACAATATTTTGTCAAAATCAGATGATGGCGATAGTGAAGAGAGTTTTAGCATCAGTATACAATCTGGCTTTGAAGCTATGAGTCAGGTCAGTCATTTCACCCTTATTATTTTGGCTGTCCTGTTTGTTAGTACATCAAAGGAGAAACTGTGTTATTCATGATAAGTTTGATCCTATCTTCCATTATGTTTTATCTTTTATCTGTTTGTTTTGTCTTCATGGAAGATTTCCTTTTAGTGTCATAAGCACTTATATTTGCTTCTGATAGGAATTATGCATAGTAATGTGCTTAAAGGACTTAACCAGCATTGTTGACATAAAAACATCAAGCCGACCTGCCATGATTGGCAGTTTGACAGATGGCTCCACAGAAACCTTTTGGGAATCAGGAGATGAAGATAAAAACAAAACTAAGAACATCACCATCAACTGTGTAAAAGGAATCAATGCTCGCTATGTGTCTGTTCACGTGGACAATTCCCGAGATCTTGGGGTAAGAAAGCAAACTTGATTTGCGGCTCTTTAGCTCTTTTCAGACCATTAGTATTCATGCACCCTCATTTCTAAATTTAGCAGAAGGCTTTATCACCTGGAATGTTGCCAACCAAACCTCATTGCTGTATTCTCCAAATAAACTGTAAGTCTAAAAACAAATTAATATGATTGGGAACACTATGGAATTCCAGTCCTGAAAAGAGGTCTGATTACAAATAAACCATGGCTACAGCTAAGCAAAATGAAAGTCTGCTCTACAGTTTTCTGCTTCCATGCCCTTGGCTAAGATTTTCCCTTGACCTGGAAGTTCTCCCCTTAAACTCTGATGATTGATTCTCCTAAGGTCTCTCAAACTTAATAAGAGAAATTCTTAATAACACCTCTAAAAAATTACTCTTTCCCTCTGCTGGGTTCTTCTTTGTATTACTCTGGTGGCGCTTAATAATAATTTTTGATCTATAGTGTAATTAGTTGTTTTTTTTTTTTGAGATAGAATCTCCCCTCCGTCACCCAGGCTAGAGTGCAGTGGTTACTTCCACCTCCAGATTCAAGCTTTTCTCCTGCCTCAGCCTCCCAAGTAGCTGGGATTACAGGCATACGCCACCATGTCTGCCTAATTTTTGTATTTTTAGTAGAGACGGAGTTTCACCATGTTGTCCAGGCTGGTCTCAAACTCCTGACCTCAAGTGATCTGCCCACCTCGGCCTCCCAAAGTGCTAGGATTAACAGGCATGGGCCACTGCACCCAGCCTATCTTTAAATATCTACTTCTTTCTCACAATCCTCATGGAGTTAAAAAATAAGTTTCTGTACTGTCCCAAATAATCATAATTTATATGCTCCCTAGCCTAGTTTACCCACGTTTCAATTGAATTAAATATTCTTTTATAAAAGGCACTAAACAAGAAAAAAGAGTCCTATTTATTTGCGTGTTAACAACCAAGAAAGAAATAGCACTACCTCCAGACTGCCTTTCTTCTACCTCATTCTTGATGGATACTGTGTAGAATTTTTTTTCCTCAGAATGGATGTGGTTGGCCAGCAGAGGCAGTATTAATGGCTCCCCTTGAACCACTGCCTGGCTCTTCCTGTGTCATTTGCATATTTCCTTTCTGAGGAAGAGCCACAGTGGTAGGGTTGGGTCTCCGATAACCTGGATGCAGGCCAGTCTGCAATCAGAGCAAGCTGCAACTCCTGTACATCAGTGCAGGTGCTATTCCTCCCTGATATTGAATAAGTAAAAGAAGCTTAGCTAATGTCAGATGAGCGATTTCCTCCACAGACCCAAGAATTTGCACTGGAATAACTACTTTATCTTACTAGAGAGTCAGGTGTAACAAAGCAAAACATTCTGTGGCTAGAACTCACTGATGAGTGCAGAGTTACCTGTAGCTCATGGTACATTTTAAGCCAGGACATACTCTCCCTCAGAACAGTGATTGCAATCAATTTGACATATCTGTCTTTTCTCAGGGGAAATAATCATGACAGTATTCATTTTCAAAATTCCCAGCATGTAAGCTGACATCTACTTTCCTTTTTAAGAGGCTTCCTCTGTGTTATAGGTTGAGCGTTCCAAATCTGAAAATCCAAAATGCTACAGAATCTGAAACTTACTGAACACAGATGTGACACTTAAAGGAAATGCTTATTGGAGCATTTCTGGTTTTAGATATTTAGATTTGGGATGCCCAGCCAGTAAGTATAATGCAAATACAGTATTTCAAAATCCTAAAATATCCCCAGTCCCAAACACTTCTGGTCCCAAATATTTCTGATAAAGGAAACTCAACCTGTACATATGTTTTCCTTGAGTTATGTACCTCCGTGTCCCCCAACCTGCCTACCACAGAGCCTGTAAACAGTATTCTTTGATTTGAATTTTATCCACCTACAGCACTCATAATATGCAGCTCTCCAAGGAACTAATGTTAATCTATTTCTTGATGTGCTCTGCATAAAACATACTCAACCCTAAGGTCTTTGGCTCTAGGATGAAATGTATTGAACTTGTGCTGATGTGTTAATGTTGCCTTCCCTAGTTTGGCAAGTATCTTGGGGATAGAATTTCTTGCATATCCTACTCCAAATCTATAAGGAAGTCTGGGTACACTGTGACACTCCTAAGTATTTGTCAGTTACCTTTCCTTTTTATACTTCAAAAGTAATGAGAATATAGCAACAAGGGTGTGACATAAGTGACAAGCATATTTGCTGAAAGGCTTCATGAGGATGCAATCTGAATATTTAGACTTTGAAAGGAGAGGGAATGTCAAGCTATGAGAGAGCACATGGAGAGGGGCTGAAATGTACAATTTAAGACAGAGTTTGTGAGAATAAGACTGAAGTTGTAGGAACTATGGTTAGTTGGAGGGATGCGGTGGGGTCAATCAGGAAGGATGGTAAGAGACAGGCAGAAGACTTAATGTGAGAAACCATTTGTAAGTTCTGAAGCAGTAATATAGCATTATAACTATTGTGAATTGTCTATTTCAGAATAAAGTTACCTCAATGACCTTCTTAACTGGCAAAGCAGTAGAAGATTTGTGCAGAATAAAGCAGGTAATTAAAATTTTGTCATTAAATGTTTTGCTACCTGGAGAGAAATTTCTTCTTCTCAGCTTTCACTGTTGAGTTCCACCTTTGGCATACAACCAAGGTATTATAGGAAATTATTTATAAAACATTAAGTTGACAAATGGTCTATATATAGGAATAGTAACTGCCATCCCTGTGCTACACATCTTATCTATTATTGTCCTAAATGCTCCCTAGTCATGAGTGATTATATTGCACCTACAGTCTCCCATACCCCATTCCCCAACAAAGACTCCGGGTATCTTAAAATTTATCGCCTGTAATCCCAGCACTTTGGGAGGCCGAGGTGGGTGGATCACAAGGTCAAGAGATAGAGACCATCCTGGTCAACATGGTGAAACCCCGTCTCTACTAAAAATACAAAAAAAAAAATTAGCTGGGAATGGTGGCGCGTGCCTGTAATCCCATCTACTCAGGAAGCTGAGGCAGGAGAATTGCCTGAACCCAGGAGGCGGAGGTTGTGGTGAGCTGAGATCGTGCCATTGCACTCCAGCCTGGGGAACGGGAGCGAAACTCCATCTCAAAAAAAATAAATAAAATAAATAATAAAAAATAAAAAGTTATCACAGATCTCATTCACACTTAAAACTTTAATTCACCTATACTTTGAGTTAAAATAGGTTATTGTCCTCTGGCCTGAAAAATCTATGTTATAACACTGCAGCTATATCCAGGTTACAAGTCAGTTTAAACCAACTCTACACACAAGTTAAGTTTTATCTAGGCATGTATCTGAGACTGTGCTCAAGCTCCCTTACTTGTGTTAGTGAAACTTTGTCAAAACTTTTTCTCACTGGCTACTTTATCTCACAAAAGTTGACCAATTGCTTGTTTGCTTGCTTGTTTTCAAATAATATTGAAGGAATGAATTAAGATTTTAGACTAAACATATAATAAATTTTGTCTAACTTGTTAAAGAATTTGGGAAAATAATTCTATTCAATGAGATTGTGTTTGTTTATACTTAATACCCCATTTAGAAAATTGACATTAATTAAAATAATATCAATTTAATGTCTGTGTAAATCACATAAATATTTCCAGGCCATTTCTTGGTTATTAAATGCCATAAGAACAGTTTTCATTTTATGAAGGGAATAGTGTCAAAAACTAATTCACAGTGTTGTAACATTTGATCCTTGAAAAAAAAAAGTCATATTCTCAATGAAATTTAGTGACATAAGGAATCACAGGTGTGATGTTACATATTATATAATTTTTGTTCAAAAGTAAACATATTAAGTAACTATACATTAAAAGTACATTATCTTTAAATGGTGCTTTAATGTGAGGATACACAAGCAAAGAACCCTTTTCTGATCTTGTGATGTTTCTACCTACAGTCGATATAGGTAAAGTACAGTCATATAAATTATTTGTAATCCATTCACTCATATAACTTTGCTCAGAAGCCGTATGGTAATCAGGCCTGGATTTTAATTCTCAATTCCACCATTTACTGAAAATCCCTTAACCTGTGTTCACCTTAGTTTCTTTGTCTGTATAATAGCTACTATAAATAATATCGCTTATCTTCACAGGGTTGAAGTAAGATAATCAGTGTGAAATGACCTCATAACCTTTACTCTGTACAATTCTTTGTTATTTGAGTTTGCTGATATTAATGCTAAGTCTAGCCCAGTGATTAAAAATGATCCAGCTGAATCAGGTTTCTGCCTCTTTTCTACTCAACCAGGTTGATCTAGATTCCAGGCACATTGGCTGGGTAACAAGTGAACTTCCAGGAGGGGATAATCACATCATCAAAATTGAATTAAAAGGCCCAGAAAATACACTGAGAGTTCGACAAGTCAAAGTCCTGGGCTGGAAAGATGGTGAAAGCACAAAAATAGCTGGCCAGATTTCAGCCAGTGTGGCCCAACAGCGGAACTGTGAAGCTGAGACTCTGCGAGTATTCAGACTTATTACGTCTCAAGTGAGTGTCCGCACAACTTATTCTAGCACAGGGTAATTGATGTCGTATATTTTAAGAGTGTAACAAAATATTTTGTAAAACTTGCTATAGAAATTTCTGGCTATAAATGTTGCCCATTTTTTCTTTTCATAGCCCTAAACACCCGAGTTTCATGTTGCATTCATAATTAAGAAGAGTAATGGTGTATATTAGCAAGAGTGGCATATTATAACACCTGCAGAATCAGCTAATAAGTCCTCTGGCTATTACAGTGTTAATGCCTGTCATTAATTCCTTCTCACATGCATATCTTCCTCATCAGGTATTTGGAAAGCTCATCTCCGGCGATGCTGAACCTACACCAGAACAAGAGGAAAAAGCCCTATTGTCATCACCTGAAGGAGAAGAAAAAGTATACAATGTATTTATTTGTATTCTAAAGATCTTTATTTCCCTTTTCTATTCTTTTTTCAGTGAAATAATTCATGCATTGCTGTATATTTTAATGATGTAATAACAGTTTTATGCAGTTCCTATTTTTTCTTAGAGGATGAAGGAACTATCTAAAAGAAATTCATTGTTCATGTATCATCTAGCTAGTATTTTAAGTAACAGCAAAATTTGCTCTATACCTTGGGTTTTTAGGTTCATTTGTTGGCATTTACAAAATTAACTTAATCATTTCTGTGCTATACCCCATCATTTATCTCTTCCCGCCTCCATTTTCCCTGTCCTTCACAGTTCAGCTCAAAAGTACTCTTCTTCATGAAACTTGTTTATGATTTATCTTCTTCATGAAACTTATTTTTGATTTCCCCAAACAAAAAGCAGCTTTCTGTCTGCTGGAGTTCATAGTAATCTATATGTGTCTCTTCTTTGTTTTTCTCTTATGTTTATCCGCATACATGTTTTATCTCTTCTACTGAACCATAGCTTCTTTTTTTTTTAATTTTATATGAAGTTTTATTCTCAAAATACAAAAAAAAAAAAAAAAAAAAAAAAACAAGGGCTAAGGTGTTATTTCACAGCACTTGCTTGCCTCAGTCTTTATGAAGCACACAATTCCAAGCTAATGGACAAGTTCCTCCCTGTGCTCTAGGTCATTCAAAGGAGGCAAGCTCCTTTGTCAAATCAGGAGCCCAGATGCAGTGTGGGAGGTTCTCAGTGGGACCTAGTATTGCTAGAAGAGCCTTGCTTATACAGCGTTAAGCACATGGGTCTCTTCCCTTAGAATGTATCTGTCTCACATGCTTGGGGACTGCTGTGCAGGAACACCTGGTGTGGCCTGGTGAGGCAGCGTATACGTGGCCCCCAAAAACTGGTCTGCAATTCTTCCTGTTTCTCACAGCCCACTCAGCAGAGCACCATGCACTGTGGCTGGGTAGTTACAGATCGTATGTTCTCCCGCAAAGAAGAATTGTGGAATTGGCTGTGGGGCGCCTGGAATTGATGGGCCAGGAGTGATTGGCTGAGCCATTAAATCATTTCCAGATGATCCTGCAGCAACATAGGAATAAGAGCCCCAGGCCCAAGGATCAGCACGCCAACAAGACACCACAGTTTCTTTGGGCTGGGGTACTGCACTGCTTCCAAAAATCCCTTTAAGAATGGCCAGGCATCGGCCAACAATCACATCATTACTTATATTTTCCATGATACCATCAGCTTCTCCTGCCACTAGTGCCAACAGTATTGGAGCTTTATAGAGATTCCAGAAGAGGAAGAGCTCACCCCTGCTGGAAGTCGTACTGCCAACATGCCCAAACAAATTGACACTTGGATCCCAGAACACCCAGTCAAAACACAACACCACCTTATTAAGACTGCCAAATCCCATCCTTTGGACTGCAGATGTTTTCCACTCAGGAAGAGGTGGCACAAACTGAACAGCTGGTGGCTGCTGCTTCAGCACACCCAGGGGAAGGGTACAGAGAACTGCATCGCATTTATAAATAAAGGTTTGACTCGTGGAGCAGGTATTCACAGCTATCACTTCACATCCTGAAGCCGTGTAGTGAACCTGTCGCACTGCTGTATTCAGTTTAATGTCTAGGCCTTCTGCTAAAGCCACAGGCACACATGAGTAGCCATTCCTCACCGTCAGTTGGCTGCCAGTGAACTCGGTCATCATCCTGATCCCAGTGTTTAAGGGAGAGAGTTGAGAGAGGTGTGGCATTAGCAAATTCAAGATTTGCAAAATGCCAGTCAAGTATTTGTCTGTCTCTTGAGGAGAGATATACATCACTTGGAGGATTCGCTTCCAATTCCTGAAGTTTTTCTTCTAGCTTTCCTTGTGTTTCAGCTAATTCATCATATTCCTTGCATAGGGCGGTCAGATCCCTGTGTTTGCTTTTCACTAAGAACTCGGCAGTAATGTCTCTGGGTGGCTTTACTTCAGATGCTTCTTTGTATTGCTGATGGAGTTCTTTGATTTTCTCTTTCAAATTTACCGTCTTATTAAGAAGTTCTTTCAATTCTTCCTGAGTTTTCACTATCTTCTTCCAATGTTCAATCTGCTCATCTTTGACATGCTTTTCTTGCAACTGAATGACAACTTCTAATACCTGGCCAAGAGACACAGGTTTATTAGTGAGGACATTGAAGTCTAGCTGATGACTAAGGTAAGATGTAGCTTCTAGCAACCGGTTAAGCTCTTGCTCTACCATTTCATCTTTCTCTTTAGGAACAGCTTGTCCGTTTGCTTCATAAAGTGGGCATTTTTGCTTGATCTTGGCCAGTTCCATATTTACTTGTTTGCTGACAACAGCCATAGGATTCCCTCCAAGACCTGTTATCACCGTGGCTCCAAGATCAGCTACATAGTTTCCTTTGCGAAACGTAGCAACTCGTCCACCCACACGATCCCTGGCTTCCAAAAGTATGACATCCATTCCAAAACTTTGTAACTGTCTAGCTGCTGCCAAGCCTGAGACCCCAGGGGCTATAATAATGACCTTTCCTGTCTTTTTAGTTGGTAGGGGTTTTGTCCTTTTATAGATGCCACAGTTGATAAGACCATGCCGCTCCAAATAACTGTGCACTCGGTGGAGAAGCACAGTATCACTGTTATAAGGTGCTTCTAATTGTTGGAGAGTAGCCTCAAATGTCAGTTGAATCTTTGGATTATCCAACCACAACTGCAACGTGTGGTTTCTAATGAACAGAAAAGCTTTCTGGGTCCGCTGTGGTCCACTGATAATATCTGGAAAACAGGCTGCTTCTTGAGAAGTCATCCGGTCATGAGGAAGTCGGCTCTGGAAAGCTGCTCCCTCCACCCCCGATGGTTCTTCAGGCTCACTTCCGTTTTCTTCCTCAGGTGGGGCTTGAGGAGGTGGTGGGGGAAGCTTCTTTTCCTTCTCTGCTTTAGCATTTCTCTCTTCTTCTGAATAATACTTATCTTCTGAGAGGTTGGCCAAGCTTTCACCCATCTCTCTGTACTCTACCTTCGCCCGCTTGCGCCTGCTAGGCCGACGCCCCTCCGGAGTCTCTGCTATTCCAGTTTCCATGGGGGTCGCAGACCCAGGCACGACGGTAGGCCCGGCCTGAGGCCCTGTGGACCCCGGCGGTTCGGCCAGGCCCCCGGGGGGGCGAGGCCCGCGGAGGCTCTTTCTTGCGGGGCGTGCGCTCCCCGGCCGCCCCCTGCCCGACCTCGGCTGGGCCCGACAGGCCTGCGGGCGGCGCGGCCACCTCAGAGCCGTTCTCGGCACTGTCTGTCCTGGCTACCGCCTTCTTCCCAGACAACATCTCGGGCCGCCGGGCCGCCGACGGCCGTAGGGGCAGCTCCGTGGGTCCGAACCGCCTCCTGAACCATAGCTTCTTAAAGACCAAGTCCATGTCTAATCGGTCTTTGTGTCCATCCTGATATAATCACATACATGTTCTGTAAATTTTTATTAGAATAACTACTCTTTATTATTGTTCTTGAAATTTCTTCTAAAAATACAGTTGCTTTACTTTTTCAGTCCTTACTTAAAACACAGTACCTAAGAGTTTTGTACCTCATCCGTTTCCAAAAAGAGAAGTCAACTCTGACTAGTCTCAGTATTCTAGTGTCTTTAAATGCTGCAAATAATTACCTTGGCAGCCCTTTCAAAGATAAATTTCAAAGATTTCCCTAGACTAACCCTGTGTTTCCTAATACAGTAGTATCCAAATCATTGCCATATTTTTGTTTGACGTTTGAAAAAATAAGATTTCTTAAATGCCGGTAACTTCTTTCAACATCTTTTGGAGATCTCATTTGAACGACTATAAGACTGTAACCTACCCATTAAACCAACTGAATTTTAGCAAATGTCAGCTCCGTACTAAACACTTGTGAGAATGGCAAGCCCTCAAAAAACTTGCATTCTGTTCTTGGTTGTGAACCCTCTGCATTCCCCTCACCCCCCAAAAAGAAATCAACAAGATACCAAACAGCATATAAGCAAGTTATTAAATGTGTGGAAAAATTGCAAATGACAGAGACTTTCAGAGTACATTGATATCATTGTGCCCTGGAGTGGTCAGAGAAGGCTTTTTAGGGGATATTGGACTTGAGTTAGATCTGAAAGAGAATGAAGGGATCAGAGTGAGATTAGTAGAGAGAATGGGAGAAAGGACTGATCAGAGAGGCTGGCCTAACAGTAGGAGAGTATATGTTAAGGAGTTAAGGTTAAATAGGAAAGGTTACACTAACAGTTGGGTGCCCATGAAATAACATGATTTTTAAGAGAATAATTTTTTTAAGTTAGATTATTGAAGCATAATTTACATACAAAAATTCCTCATTTTAAACTGTATCATTCAATGAATTTTTACTTGTGTACACTAGTGAAATAATTATCACAATCAAGTTTGTTTTGTTCTGTTTGAGACAGGGTCTCGCTCTGTCACCCCGGATGGAGTGCAGTGGTATGATCATGGCTCACTGCAGCCTCAACCTCCCGGGCTAAATGGATCCTCCTGCCTCAGCTCCCAAGTAGCTGGGACTACAGGTGCATGTCACCATGCCCAGCTAATTTTTATATATTTGTAGAGATGTGGTTTTGCTATGTTGACCATTCTCAAACTTCTGTGCTCAAGCAGTCCTCCAGTTGATATTAATCCCAGAGTGCTGATATTACGCACATGAGCCACCATGCCCAGCCCACAACCAAGTTTTGAAACACATCACTTCCCAAATTTCTCTCATGTTCCTTTGCAGGCAGCCCCCCAACCTCAGAGAGGTTCTGACTCTCAAGTAATTTGTTCATTTCATCTAAGCTGTTGGATTTGTTCATAATATACACTTATGTCCTTTTATTATCTGTAGAATCTGTAGTGATGTCTCTTGGTGATTTGTGTCTTCATTCTTTTTTTCTGGAATAGTTTCGCTAAAGGTTCATCAATTTGATTCCTTCAAAGAACCAGCTTTTTGTTTCACTGATTTTCCTCTATTTTTGCTTCTTAATGATTTCAGCTCACATTTTTATTTATTTCCCTATATTTGCTTTTCATTTCATTTTTTCATCTTTTTCTGGTTCCTTAAGGTCTAAGATTAGATCATAGACTCTAAGACCTTCCTTTTCTCATCTAAGTATTTAATGCTATTACTTTCTTCTAAGTACTACGTTAGCTCATTTCACAAATTTTGGGTTTTTAAAAAATTTTCATTCAATTCACAATGTTTTCTTATTCCCATTTTTATTTCTTCTTTGACCTTTGGGTAATTTAGAAGCACCTTGTTTAGTTCCCAAATATTTGGGAGTATTCCTGTTTGCTTTCTATTAATAATTTCTGGTTTAATTTCATTGTGGTCAAACGGTATACTTCATATAATTTCACTCCTTTAAAAAGTGTTAACATTTGGATCCTGGCCTGTAATATAGCTGTTTTAGTGAATGTCCACGTGCACTTCAAAAGATTGTGAACTCCACTGTCGTTCTTTGAGGGGTTCTATAAATATCAGTTAATTCGAGTTGATCGATAATATTCAAGTCATTAAGAGCCTTACTGGTTTTGGGTTTTTGTTTTGGTTTGGTTTTTTTTGTTGTCGTTAAGTACCGAAAGAAGAGTTTTGAAGTATCCAATTAAATGGATTTGTTTATTTGGAATTTATTATACCTGGTAGCTGGTCTCAACATTCTGATGTGCTCCAAAAAAGTTTTGGTTTTGTACATGATCAGCTTTTTCTTCATTGTTAGGGCAAAAGGGACATTCTCATGTGGTTCTCTATCCTAAGAAATGTAAAACCAAGAATCATTTTTGATTCTTAAAGGAGTTTCTTACCTCAGTTTTCTTACCTGTAAAGTTGGCAAAATATTACAGTTTACCTTATAGGGTTGTTGTGAAGATTAAATAAAATTGTGTGTATGTGTGTGTACGCGCATGCATATACGTATATGTTAATGTGTATATATGTGTACATATATATATATATATGGCACTTGAGTACCATGCACATAATAAACCCTATAAAATTTTAGCCTTTATTTTTCTTCTTATGTTACATTTCTTTGATGACTGTTGGTGTTCGAATAGCTTAATTTAAGACCACCATCATCAGAGAGTTTTGCTAGGACGCTTTCTTTTTAAACGAATGTTATTTTCCCGGATTGTTCTTCAAACAGTTAAATCTGGGGTGTGAACTAATAATGTTTACAATTTAAAAATAGATTTATGGTTGGGCGCGGTGGCTCAAGCCTGTACTCCCAGCACTTTGGGAGGCCGAGGCAGGTGGATCACGAGGTCAACAGATCGAGACCATCCTGGTCAACATGGTAAAACCCCGTCTCTACTAAAAAATTACAAAAACTTAGCTGGGCACGGTGGCACGTGCCTGTAATCCCAGCTACTCAGGAGGCTGAGGCAGGAGAATTGCCTGAACCCAGGGGGCGGAGGTTGCGGTGAGCCGAGATCGTGCCATTGAACTCCAGCCTGGGTAATGAGTGAAACTCCGTCTCAAAAAAAAAAAAAATTAATTAAAAAAAAATAAAAATAAAAATAGATTTAATCAGTGACTCAAATTGACAATAAATTTATGTAGTGAAAATATACTTCTCTGGATTTCTTAAGCTCAGAGATTTTGTTATTTTTATAGTCACTTGGGTCAATAGTGATTTCTTCAAACTTTATTCCTTGTATTAGTATTATAAGCTTCCATTTAAAATAAATTTGCTTTTAAAATATATACACAAAATTATTTCTCAAGATATTTTGAAATATCAAATATACAAATTTTATTTAAAGAGACAGCTTCATTTTTTTTCTTTTTCTATGTAAAGGCAACATCAGATGCTGACCTGAAAGAACATATGGTTGGAATCATATTCAGCAGGAGTAAGCTGACTAACTTACAAAAACAGGTTGGTTAATAGCCATTTCATTGTCTTCATTAGTTTTTAATGTATGTGTTTGTTTATTTGCTTGTTTACCTGTTTTTAGGGTATAAAGAAGGGGTGTCCAATCTTTTGGCTTCCCTGGACCACATTGGAAGAAAAAAAATTTTCTTAGGCTACGCATAAAATACACTAACGATAGCTGATGAACTTAAAAAAAAAAAACGCAAGAAAAATATCGCCTAATAGTTGAAGAAAGTTTATGAATTTGTGTTGGGCCATATTCAAAGCCATCCTGGGCCACATGCAGTCCCCAGGCTGCAGGTTGGACAAGCTTGTATAAAGTGTTTTGAAAAATTTATGAAGGCTTTTCTACACTTGCTTTTTTATAGGTCCTGCAGAATTTGCTTGCCATTTTCTAGAGAGGAATGAGTATTTTGGCATACCTTCAACTATTTTCAAGATTTCGCTTATGAATGTTAACTTGCTTACCTTCTGCTGTTTGTGATGGGTAGATTTATTATTTGGTGGCAAAGACCCAGCTATGTCAGATTTGATTTGCATTTCCCATATTTCTTTTCCTCCTGTTATTTTGTTTGTTGGCTGAGCAATTAACAGTGCTAACTATACCTGTGTTAATATTTTTAAATATAATCAGGTGAGGAAATAGCACTATATTGTTCATATAATGAGATGCTAGATAGCATAAAAATAGCATCTCAAAAGTCACATAAAATATTGATTTTAAATTAACCTATTGTTTTGACTTTCAACACTATTAATTATGCTTTTCAATAAACTACAACATGAATTTACTTGTGCTTTATCTTTCTAGCAGTGTTTCCTTGAATCTTAACTGCTTTCAATTGTAAAATGTCATGTATAATATCAATATTGTGAATCTTACCATCTATAAAGCATCTTATGAACATAATGGTCAACCATGAGAATAAAAGTGCCTTTGGTGATAAAAGGTGGCAATGGGTTTTAGATGTGCTAAACTATAGGCATACACATTAATAACTTGCATATAATCAGTTTGCACATAGTAATTGATTTAAATATTTTCATTTTTATTGTGTTTCCCCAAGCTTTACTTAATTGTTTCTCAGATGAGTTAAGAGAATGACGTATGATGGAGAATTAATTGGGAGAATAGTATTAAATTGAGTATCAATTTATATTCTTGTTCTGTGTTTGCTTGTTTTGCTAGGAGTAGCGAATTATACTTACATACATATCCTGTGTTAACTTTAAATAGGTGTGTGCTCATATTGTCCAAGCTATTCGCATGGAAGCTACACGAGTCCGTGAAGAATGGGAGCATGCTATATCAAGCAAAGAAAATGCCAATTCTCAGCCAAATGATGAAGATGCCTCCTCTGATGCCTACTGCTTTGAGCTGCTCTCTATGGTTTTAGCTCTGAGTGGCTCTAACGTTGGCCGGCAGTATCTAGCTCAACAGCTAACTCTGCTTCAGGATCTCTTCTCGCTGCTTCACACAGCCTCACCCAGAGTCCAGAGACAGGTGACTGATCACACCACAGCCTTTCCGTTGCTTTTGTTACTTGAAACATGGTTAAAAATTGCAATGCAAAGAGAATTATCTAAGGACCCTAAGTATAGATTGTATTTGTTATTTTGTTATATTTTCTTTGGAGCCTATATTTTACTCCTTTTTTGTTTGTTTTTACTGTTTATGAGAGTATAGAATAACAAAATATGTTTTATTTTATTAATGTGTTGTGATAAAGAGTATTCTGGCTACTGATTACCATAGTACCATGAAATATGTAATGTTGTTTAGTCCTGACCAGAAAGAAAAAGTATTGTTTTTTCTTGCTGTCTTGGGTTAGTAATTACCACTACTGTTACCATTTGAATAGTATGTATATCATATTTCTTTCCTTCACTAAATGTAAAATAGTGTTTAAATCATATTTCTTCTCAAAGATTTTGAAGTTACAGAATGGTAGTTAGGTACATTAGAAAATAAAGCCTGGGACCGGGTGCAGGGACTTATGCCTATAATCCCAGCACTTTGGGAGGCCAAGCTGGGAGGATCCCTTGAGCCTAGGAGTTCAAGGCTGCAGTGAACTGTGGTCGCTCCATTGCACTCCAGCCTGGACAATAGAACAAGACCCTATCTAAAAACGAAAAGAAAAGAAAACCTTAGAACATCAGTCTTTACATGAAATTCTTTCATTTTATTTTTCTTACCAGGTAACCTCTTTACTAAGAAGAGTTTTGCCTGAAGTAACCCCTAGTCGTCTGGCCAGCATCATAGGAGTGAAATCCCTCCCCCCAGCAGATATCAGTGATATCATTCACTCAACAGAGAAAGGAGACTGGAATAAGCTGGGTATCTTGGACATGTTTCTAGGATGCATTGCCAAAGCACTCACTGTACAGCTTAAAGCCAAAGGAACCACCATCACAGGAACAGCTGGTACCACTGTGGGCAAAGGAGTTACAACAGTTACTCTTCCAATGATTTTCAATTCCAGGTTAGTTACTGCTTCTAGTTTAGTACTAAAACAGAATAGAGTGAGCTACTGTTCAGAAATTTAAGATATAATTTCAAATTTTACCTTGCTAGCTTACTCACCAAATAAAATCCATAAACAGTTGGCTCATACATAAAAAGAATGTCATATATATTATAAAAGTGCCATTTATAATTAGTGGGGAATAGAAAGTAGGCTGAATATGTGATGGCAGAATATTTGGATATCCATGTTGAAAAAAGTTATAGATACCTCCCTCTCATCATATACAAAAGTAAACTTCAGTTTTAGGTAATACGTTTAAAAAAAATAAACGAGGGAATGAAGTAAACTTCAGGTCAATTAAAGTTTTATGTACATTTTTTTTAATGTACTAGGACAAATTATAGAAGAATATTTTTGTAATCTTCAGTTTGGAAAGATCTTAAGCAAAACACAGAACCCAAAATCATGTAGGAAAATATTTATAGATTTGGCTGTATAAAAATGAAAATTACTTGATAGGTGATAATATGTAAATGTTTTAAAATATAGGCAACTAATTTAGAAAAATATTTAAATCTATATAATAGACAATGACTTACTAGCATAATATTAGAATGACTACAATTTTAAAAAGGCAAACAACTAATAAGAAATGACAAGAACAGTCAGTTCACAGAAAAAAATTTATAAATGCCAGTAAACAAGTGAAAACACCTCACTACTAATTAGAGAAATATTAGATTAAAATCATTGCAAAATATCTTTGATGCTTTGGCAACATTATGAGGAAACAGCATTTTCATCTGATACAAATTGCTGCATCATTTTTAGATATCTGTTTAATAATATCTAACTATATTTTAAATATGCGTATCCTTTGACCTATCAATTCTACTTCTAAAACTTTCATACATTTTCACCAACATATATATGCAAGGAAGTTCTGTGATTGTAACAGTAGAGAATTAGAGACAGCTCAAACAGTGCTGCTTGTAGAGCCAATCCATGACAACATGCAGGTAACATGAGAATGTTAATCATTGCATCACTTTTTTCCTGTATATTATCTTGCAATAAATAAACTTTATATCCTGTATAAAATCAATTGAACTAAATAGTAGTGTGCTTAGTGATACAGTGGATTTATATTTTGGCACAAGCTCCATATTATCTGCATGTGCACTAGAAGTAAGTTGTGTGTGGTCCCTGGACTGCACTTCTAAAAGATGCACACACAAGTAATGTGCAGAGAGAAATATTTGAAAGGGATTGCAAATCACCTTAACTGCTGTTTTGGGATTGAAGAGCTAGATTTGGGGCTATGATGGCTTCATGAATTTTCTTTTTAAATGCTTAAATTGATCCAGTCACTTAAATATCTAAAATGCCGCATTCTGAAATAACATTTTCATCTTTTGAATTTGTAACTACTACTGATAATTTATTGGCTTTATTATAAGAGCTAATTTTTCTTTGTAGTTATCTCCGACGAGGTGAAAGTCATTGGTGGATGAAGGGCTCAACTCCTACCCAGATCTCAGAGATCATCATTAAGCTTATCAAGGATATGGCAGCAGTAAGTTCGCATTCTTCTGATGGTTTTGTCAGTGAAATGCAGCAGGAATCTGATTGACAGAACAGCTTACTCTGCTGAATTGATAGGAGATATACATTAGTGTCCCTTTTCTGAAAGACTATTTTGTAGTATTTAACTATCATGCTGTTTGTCTTTTCAGTGAGTGATAAATCTGTCATTTATATACAGTGAATTTATGTGAGAATTGTTACCTAAGTCATTCAAGACTTTAAAATCTAATAAAGTAAAATATGCTCTTTCAGACCCTAAGAAAGAGCCTGATTCCAAAAACCTAAAGGGAAAAAAGGGAAAGAGAGCTCTCAAAAGTTGAAGTTTCTCATTCTTCTCAGTCCTCATGGTTTTTAAAGCGTTTATTCTTCTTTATTAAGGTCCTATACCATCTGTCTTAAGATGGTGGCTTCCAGAGGAGATCTGGGAGTGCAGAGGACAGGGAGTTACTCCACAGAATACCTGTCTCATATTAGTTGCTCCTCATCATTTTCCACACCTTCTGTTGTATTTCTAGGAGGCCAGCCTGAGAAGGACAAGATATTGTGTGGAATGTAGGTCCCTGAGAGACAGAGGGAATAGAAGTCATGTTAGAGGAGAAGGAGGAGGAGGAATTAAATTGTCCCTTAAATCACGTGGATATGGGAAGTGGGAGGATTTTCTGGGTGAAAGATGAAGTTCTATCACTTTTCCCAACATCATGGACATATTCTCAACCTTTGTGGTAAACACAGACTTTCTCAGGGTGTTCACTGGATTAAAATATTTAGGAGTAATATTTAGGAACACCTAAATTCTATGATAGTTAAATGTTTGTTCTTTACAAATCGAGGTAGCAAATAAAGGTAGTTGCAGTTTGAACTTGCTTATATTTTAGGTTCCAGTAACACTCATCTAAAGCAGTTAGCTTCAGTATGTAAATTGTATGCTAAGTAACAAAATTTCTCAAAGATAGATAACCTTAGTACTACTGTTATGTTTTTATCAGCTGTAAGAGGAATTACCCTTGATTTTCCAGGAAAAGAGTACTGAGAACTTAATCTCTTTTATTTATTTGTTTTTAAATATCAAAATAATGATTAGAAGTTGAATTTTCCATAGGATTGTGAAGAAATTTTAGTTTAAAAGTCTGTACCCATGATCTAACATTCCATGTCTCATTTAAAAATAAATATTTCCTTTTGATGAGAGATGTTATTTAAGAAAAAAGAATTTACTATGGAAAACATTTCTGGTTACTTATTAAAATATTCTGCTTTGCTAATAGGGTCATCTCTCAGAAGCTTGGTCCCGAGTAACAAAAAATGCTATTGCAGAAACCATCATTGCCTTGACCAAGATGGAAGAAGAATTTAGGTCTCCAGTGAGATGTATTGCAACAACTAGAGTAGGTTTTGCTTTGTTTTCTTTTATTTTAAATTTGGTCTGTATCATTGCATGCTGTTTTTCAGCAGTAGATTTAAACAGATTTTAATCACTAAGTCAATGTAATTATTTTTTAACTAAATACTATGTTAAAAAAGTATAAAGGGCTTTTATATTATGAACTAATTACTTTTCACTGTTATGTGTTTTGTGTCACTTGTTTTTGTTATTGTTTAGGAAGCCGAGGATACACTGGTTAGAAAAAGCTAATTACATTGTACATTGTGTGTTGTCTTTCTAATGATCTATTTCCTGTAGCTTACCACACTAAGTTTAGTGCCGGCATTATTCTGTGATAGACCAAAGGCCCATTGGAGACAACACCCCTCCTATACCTGGTTGTTCCTCATGTAGAGCCCTATAACTTACTTAGAGGGTTTATAGGCTTTACTTCTAAAAAGCAAAAAGTACTTGTCCAGGGAAGGGTCAGGGTAGAAATCTCTGAGAAAATGAGATTGCATTCTTCAGATGACACATTTATAGTAAGTTTTAACCTACTGGATTTCATGTCCCATATATTTCCAGAAGAGATTTGAGATTTTCTTGAAGCAGGGCAGTCTGACAATATTAGGAAGAAATTAATGCTGGTAAAAATTGCTTAGGTTAGTCCTCAGAAATCTGAAAAAGAAGGTAAACTATATTTCCCTAGGTCAGAAAAAGTCAATCTATGCTATCTTGCTATTGAACGTGACCTGCAGCAGGTATTTTTGACAGTAATCCTTTCCCACCACTCATGCGTTGCTTTCTTTCGGTCTGCATTCCCCTTCCTCCTTGCATGCATTGTTTGTCTTTTTCTATTTTTCTGTACCTATTTTAACATCTCTTGCTCTCTGTATCCAATGATACTCACATGCACTTCTTAGAGTTGAGCTAGTTAAATCATTTTCTTCATTCATGAGGGACTATATCATTCTATGTAAAACTGAAGTTTACCCTTTAAGCCTCAGACATTTTTAACTATTTTTGAAAACAGTTTCTTTTCTTTTCTTTTCTTTTTTTTTTCTCTTATTGCCCGGCATCTCGGCTCACTGCAACCTCCGCCTCCCAGGCACAAGCAATTCTCCTGTCTCAGCCTCCCGAGTAGCTCAGATTACAGCTGTGCACCACCACGCCTGTATACTTTTTTTTGTATTTCGTAGAGACAGTGTTTCACCATGTTAGTCAGGCTGGTTGTGAACTCCTGACCTCAGGTGATTCACCTGTCTTGGCCTCCCAAAGTGCTGGTATTACAGGCGTGCGCCACTGCACCCGGACCTATTTTTGTGAACAGTTTTCTAAAGCTTATTAGACATTTATGTATTTCTGACAAAGTGCACCAAGTATAGTGTTAGGGCTTCTGGGACAACAAAGACTTCTGAGGAACTTTTATCTAGAAGGATTTAATGTGCACCTAACTACTCATAGGACTGTACACAATTTAGCAGTTGCTGTACCACCTTCTCTGGCATTTAATACTTCAGTCAGATGATACTAAAGGGAAAATATGCAGAAGGCATTAGTACGGTAAATATTAAATATGCCAATTCATTTATTCATATGTTGTTTACATTACAGACCAATAAAGGATAATTTTATTTTTCAGAAGACAGGGTCGTTCATCAAAGAAATAGTGACTTGTTCTGTAGATACCTGAGTGCCTCCTTGTGTGCATGGCACATATGGCAGTGATCGTGTATGCCTGGTACTACATCAGGAAAACTTGAGTGCCACTGCGTATCTATGTATTTTCAAAATCAGCCAGCATTTATGGAGCTGTTGTGATGTGTCACAGTCAGCATTTCATAAGTCTTTCCTAAAAATTCAGGAGTGTAACAGCCTTCCCTTTCAACAGCTCTGGCTTGCTCTAGCATCCCTGTGTGTTCTTGATCAGGACCACGTAGATCGTCTCTCCTCGGGGAGATGGATGGGAAAGGATGGACAACAAAAACAAATGGTAAGATCAGAATTTTGTAAGCATTTCTCTTGCTTTCCTTTGTAGTAAGCTTTAGCTTAACACACACACACACACACGCGTGCACACACACACATCAACATTCACAGTTAGTGGATCTCTTGAAAGATTGGGTCCCATTGGCCAAGTCTATTTCACTGAGAGTCCCTTCTTTATAGTATATGGAAACTTCAGGGGCTTTTATTTAAGCTCTTTTATAAGAGCTTTCTTCTTCTCTGAGTCATGTTTGCATCATACCAAAATTTGTTTTTAGCCAGAGTCTAATTCAGTGACTAGATATTTTACTGAAATGTAATCAGTCTTATGGTAGGAAGGAAACAAAGCAGTAACACAGGCAACATGACACACCATACACACTTAATTAAGTGTAAGTTTGTTCCGAAACTTAAGTATATGTGAACAAGTGGTGTGTCATGTTGCTTGTGTTATCTTCAAGTTCAGTAGAAGGGAAAATTTATATAGGCCCTTTCAGCATTTTCTTATTAATGTTCAAATTTCAAAAATAAACAGTTTATTCCTGTGGCATACAGAATGTTTGGATATATAATGGGGAAGACATTTCTTAAGTCTCTAAGTAACAAAGTATACATGTTCATTGTATTAATCATTGAACCTGCATATCACATTAATCACTGGATTTGGAGTTTTGAGAGATTTTTGTAGTTATGTACATGCATAATAATTCTGTTTAACATTCAAATTCTAAATTCTTAATAGACTTTAGAATAGCCATTTATTTTTGTAAATAAACTACGTTCAATTTGAGAGTCTGAAACGTTCTTGTTAATCTAATGTAACATGTGGAAATGTCTTATTTTAGCCTATGTGTGATAACCATGATGATGGTGAAACTGCAGCAATCATTTTATGCAACGTCTGTGGAAATTTATGTACAGACTGTGACAGATTCCTTCATCTTCATCGAAGAACCAAAACTCATCAAAGACAGGTGAAGGTTTTTGTCTCTGGAGCATAAAATATGTTCAGTGAATTTTGAAATAAATGTGCGAAAGAGGCTTGCTGTAGTCGGGGGTAAAAAGTGGACTTTGGAATCAAAGACCTTGATTGTGTTCGCAGCTGTCTCCCTTATCCACTACAAATAGCAAGTTGTTTTATACTTAGAAACACTTAATTTCTCCATTTACAAAAATAGGACTTCTGGGAAGATTAAAGAGAAGATTGGAAATATTCAAAACTTCTTAGGGTGCTTAAATGAAAGTCATTATTATTATTATTATTGAATAATTAAATTTTATACTTCCTCTTTCAGAGTGATAAACATATTTTTTTCTGTTTTAATGAAATAATAGGTCTTCAAAGAAGAAGAAGAAGCTATAAAAGTTGACCTACATGAAGGTTGTGGTAGAACCAAATTGTTCTGGTTGATGGCACTAGCAGATTCTAAAACAATGAAGGCGATGGTAGAATTCCGAGAACACACAGGTAAAAGGATTAAAGATGGAGCCATGCCCTTAAAACCCACAAAAAAGATTCAGCCATGCCAATTCATTATAACTGAACTGTGAATAATTTTGAGTGATGTTCTGATGTTTAATTATGACATCATTGATTACTGCCTACGTTATTATATTTACTAAACAGATACAGTGTTACATGGTGGGGAGAGCATCAGACTCAAAGTCAGGAAACTTGGTTTGCCACTAATGAGCTTTGTAGCCTTAAGCAGGTCACTTAACCTCTCTGGAACTCACTAACTCCATTTATAAAATGAGAGGGTCACAACTAATGGGGCTCCATAGATAAAATATACTAATACTGATAATCATCTTCTAGTTCTGTTAGTTGTTGCCCCACAATAAAAATTACTACATTAGATGATCACTAAGATCTCCATTTATTATAAGGTTGTATGATTTTGTGGTATTTTTAGAGGCTTTTGTAGACCTAATGCTTCTAAATGTTTTGTGAATGGTACTGTTTCCATTGATAGCAATAAAATAATTAACCAAAATGAATAGAGATGACTTTGAAAAAAAAAAGTAACTTATGTATGTCAAATTTATTTTTATCTCTAAAACAGTTTTCATTTTGCTTTTTTTTAAAAGTAAATCTTGTATAGTCCTAGTTCAAAGTTATGTTAAATCTTATAAATTCTCAATTTTCAGCACATCTATAGTCTGCCATTTGACTGATAGAAACTTCCAATATTGGAGTTAGGTATAAATCTGAATAAGTTTAATTTTAGGGTGACTTTTCATGCTGTAAGAGCATGACCTTTTTTTCTCATAGCTGATTTCTTCCTACTATAATCTGTCATTGCTGTATATTGCATTAATACGTGTTCTAATGTCAAACCATCCTTGTCATGATATAAACTATCCTTTTTAAATAGATTTTTCTATAAATATTGCTAAATTCAATATATTAGTTATAGGTAGATTTTTATATCTGTGTTTAAAAATCAGCTTGGTCTGTAATTTTCAAATCTTCATGTTCTTTTTCTTATTGCTCTGTTCTTGTTTTATGGATTCTGTTTCTTCTCTAAGTTGAATTTAAATATTGAAAGATATTGACATTCCTTTTAAAATTGCAGAGTTCCTGAGGCAGGAATTCTGTTTTTCAAGTTTCATACTCTGATGATAGGCTCTCTACTAAGTCTTATGATTTTGTTATATAAAGATACTTAAAGATTTCCCTAGCTTCTGTGTATTCTTATTTAATTTTTGGTTGTTATGTTTTTATGGTGCTGTGCATTTGGAGTTGGGGGCTTGCCACATCTGCTCAGTCTGGTAACTTGACTAAAAGTCTAGTCTGTTTTTTTTACTGAAAAAATATATTAGTCAATAATGTATTTGTCTTCAGATAGGTCATTAATTTCCTCTTCCTTTTTTATCATTATTTACTTTATAGTAAGGACAACTTAGAAACTTCCAGTTCTAAAACTGTCAATTTCCCAATGTCAGCAGCTAATACAAACCTAGTTTGCTTTTTAAAATTTAGTTCTGTTAAAATATGTAGAAAACATAGCTATAAGAAGGATTTTTATTTTTCTGCTTGAACCTAGGCAAACCCACCACAAGTAGCTCAGAAGCATGTCGCTTCTGTGGTTCCAGGAGTGGAACAGAGTTATCTGCTGTTGGCAGTGTTTGTTCTGATGCAGATTGCCAGGTGAGTATATAGTGAGACAGGCCATCCCATTGAGCAGTAGTCCATATTCCCCTGTGACACCTTTACTTCATGTAGATAAGAGTTATGGCTCTGAGTCAATCCAGCCTTTAAATGAGTGTATTACTTACGTGAAGCATCAAATGCCTTACCAAAGTTGGAGAATGGGTCAAATAAGGCTGGCAAGCCCAAACCACACTTTTTTTGAGTGTCTCTCAGTAACCATGATCATATATATTTAATGTCTACTTTTGTATTAGAAACAGTTAAAAATTTATTAACTGTATTTCCTTTACCTCTTATACATGTTACTCACTTATTTCCTTAAAATAAATTTTCAGTATCTGAGAGTTCTTTAGTCTTGAATATATATAAACATACTCCATGTTGTCCAAATGTTTTTAGTTTCTCAGTTCATTTAGTAAGAATGTGGATATGCTCAGAGAGTGAGAGGTACCTGTTTTGGGTTTTGTTTTATTTTTAATCCCCGTTTTGGTGATACGGGGAGTGGTACCTGGGAAATTTTACATTGGGGAACTCTTTGCTTCATAGCTGTGCATGGTGACAAATATGAAATTACAATTCACTTGTCAGCATTCCCTTTATAGAGAGTGGTATTCTTTAAAATCTCATTAAAAAAAAAGACTTTGTTAAGAAGCCTAATTTATATTCAAAGATTATTAATAACTTTACTTTGTTGTTACTTGGCCTACATAGATACTTCCTGTGGGAAAATAATCTTTGGAAATTTATATAATAGGGAAAATTACCAGAATGTGTGCCTTTTTAAATATTTGTAACCCGCATGTTCTCACTCATAAGTGGGTGTTGAACGACGAGAGCACATGGACACAGGGCGGGAAACATCACACACTGGGGCCTGGGGCGTGGGAAGCTAGGAGGAATAACGGGGTGGGGGAATTGGGAAGGGACAGCATTAGGAGAATTACCTAATGCAAATGACGGGGCGATGGATGCAGCAAACCACCACCATGGCACGTGTATACCTATGTAACAAACCTGCCCAATCTGCACACGTACCCCCGAACTTAAAGTACAATAAATAAATGTTTTTTAAAAATACTTGCGTAACATTGTAATTCACCTTTGACAGGAATATGCCAAGATAGCCTGTAGTAAGACGCATCCTTGTGGCCATCCATGCGGGGGTGTTAAAAACGAAGAGCACTGTCTGCCCTGTCTACATGGCTGTGATAAAAGTGCCACAACCCTGAAGCAAGATGCCGATGACATGTGCATGATATGTTTCACTGAAGCGCTCTCGGCAGCACCAGCCATTCAGGTTGCCTCAGCTCTTAAAGTATTAAATGTATCCAGACGTTAACATGGGGAATATACTTGTCAAATAAACAGTGGATTGAAATCTTTTTTTATATCACTAGGGAAAAATTTCTTTTAATCTGTGCATCTACCAGGCTGAGGAGCAAATTCTGCCTCTTTATGTTCTGCTTCCTATTTTGTATGCTCAGCTTTAATTTGTGATTTGTGTGAGCCTCTGTAATCAACAGAATGGATAAAATGTTCAGAAGGGGGGGGAATAATTAGATTATCCCCCAATATCTAAGGCTTTTCTTAATTTCCAAAATCCAGAATGGTATTTTTATAACATTATATGATTGACTTAAACATAATGATACATACGTAATAGAAGTTATTGTGCACGAAATAAGTTTTTTTAACTTTACCTGTTGCTTACATTTTCAGTTCTCATGATTCCAAGATAATAATATTCTCTAAAACAAGATCATAAATCAGTAATTTACTCTTCTTTCCCTGAGATACAAAATTGAATAAGTTTACATTTTTCCTAACCTGGCTTACTTTATATAGGTGGCATTAATACGTGAATGGTAAAAAGTAGAAGCTGAAGGCCTAGTTAATAGCGTATCAACTTACTATAATGAAATTTAGTAATAGTGTCCCAATGAATTTTCATTATAGTAAATTTCATGATTTTTTTTCTTCACTGCTTTAAGTAGTACCTTGTAGTAAATAATCTCCTAGTCACTCAAGTGTTTATCATTATTATATTTGCTTACATCCTTTTCTTTTTTTTATTTAAGCTGGATTGTAGTCACGTATTCCACTTACAGTGCTGTCGGCGAGTTTTAGAAAATCGATGGCTTGGCCCAAGGATAACATTTGGATTTATATCTTGTCCCATTTGCAAGGTATGAAAAGAATCTGAAATCATGTACTATTTCTTTTGGTCTTTCTTTTCATCTTTCAAAATAAACATGTGTCAATATCTCTTGGTTTCCTCTACAGTTTACTTTTTATGCACTAACCCCCAGAAGTTTCTTCCCTTCTCATTCATGTGGAGCCTGAGAATATAATCTCTCTGTTATAATGCATCTCAAAACAGTAATTGTCAATTTAAAACTGGTTACATTCTGTTAAACGTATTTCATGAGAAAGTTCATTTAAACGTCCTGAGGCATTAAAGGGCATGCATCTCTACTTTCAGACCACCAGAGAGCTCAGTTAACATAACACAGCAATGGCTACCAAAAAGAATGATCCTCTGGTGTTTGTAGATACTGATACCTGCCATTAAAGAGTGAAATCAGAACCTTCAGTACCACCAGAACAGATTCTTTTAGAGCTTAGTTAAAACACGGAGAAAATTTTTGGCATTTTGACACATCTCTGCATAGGTAGTCAGCAAGTAGGAAGTTGTTTTGGCAAGCTAATAATGATTAACAAAAAGCTCTTTTTAAAGAATGTGGCAGTGCTTTCTCTATCAGTTCATCTGTCCTTTTTTGTTCTATTAAGCTCTCCCTATTTTCTTATCTTCATATTTGCAGACTAATAGAAAAGGTATAATATGGAAAGACTTAGCACAGTCATTGTCTAGATAGACTGAGGAATAATCAAAAAGATCATAGTATTTTACTCTCCCCTATCATATGGTGCCACTTATATTAATAGCTACATGAAGGTTTTATAGCAAATACTACCTGTTCACTTCTGTCACCTGGCATTCTACCCTCCCCTCAAGGAACCATCACACACACACACACACACACACACACACACACACACACAGAGCGTGTCTTATTTGTGGCAACAAGGTAACTATTTCCACAACAGCTAGGGCAATAGGAGATATATTTCAGACTCAGGAAACGTAAAGCTAATGAAATGTAATTTTCACACTCTGTGCTCCATTTGCCCCATTTTCTCTGCTTTTAGGAAAACATGGACTTCTAAAGACTTTACAGGATATTTTTCAAATGACATTTGATTTAGAATCTGTGTACTATCTGGTTATCTTCTAGTACAAAGCTTGGCACTTAGGTGTATACTAGATGTTTCTTGAGTTGATTAATAAATGATTCTGCTAAAGAATGTTCATTTTTTGTTGCAGAACAAAATAAATCACATAGTACTAAAAGACCTACTTGATCCAATAAAAGAACTCTATGAGGATGTCAGAAGAAAAGCCTTAATGAGATTGGAATATGAAGGTCTGCATAAGAGTGAAGCTATCACAACTCCTGGTGTGAGGTTTTATAATGACCCAGCTGGCTATGCAATGAACAGATATGCATATTATGTGTGCTACAAGTGCAGAAAGGTATGTTATAAATTATACTGAGAAGTTTTAAAAACTAGAGCTTACCTGTATGATTAAGAATTCGAATTTACAATGATAGCTAAGTATTCTTCCATCTTAAGCCTGAAGTTAAAAATAAGATCACTTGGTACAATGTTTCCCAGTGTTTCCAGTAAAATTTGTTTACTTGTTTGTGGATTCTTTATTTAACCTGAACAAACTTTCTGAAACATGCAGTATTTCTGTTTACAAGCTACTTAATAAGCTGTTTGCCCAATGCAATTACTTCTTGAATAAGCTCCTCTTACTTGACTCTGCTAACTGTTTCTTCCTTAAAACTTAATTCCTTGGCTTCCAGGACAACACCCTCTTTTTCTGTCCTCCTTCCTTTCTGGTCATTTATCTTTAACTTCTTCATTGGATTTATCTCTCTCTCTTTTTTTTTTTTAACCTACCCCTTACATATTTGTTTTCCCAGAGCTTCATTCTTGCCTAATGGTGACCTCTTTTAAATATCTACCTTGGGTGACCTCTTTTAATTTCTACCTTTACCTACCATGTATACCTTTATGACCTTCCAAAACTTTTGAGATTTAGATACAAATATCCAACTGTGTAGCAGACGTTTGGATCTCCCACACATACTTCAGAGTTCACATGTCAGGTATTATATTCATCAACCTTGGCTGGGCACAGTGGCTCACACCTGTAATCCCAGCACTTTGGGAGGCCAAGGTGGGTGGATTTCCTGAGCTCAGGAATTTGAGACCATCCAGGGCAAGATGGTGAAACCCTGTCTACCAAAAATACAAAAATTAGACAGGTAGGTTGGTGTGTGACTACAGTCCCAGCTATTTGGTGGCACTGAGGCAGGGGAATGGCTTGAGTCTAGGAGGTTGAGGCTGCAATGAGCTATGTTTGTGCCAGTGCAGTCCAGTCTGGGTGACATAGTGAGAGCCTGTCTCAAAAACAAAAAAAATGACTCTATCAATCTCTGATATTTATTGACAAAATACTGTCAATTCTGTCTCCAGATCTTTCTTGAGTCCTTTTTTTCTTTCCATTACATCTCCAGCAACCCTACTCATTTTCTTTACTAATTACAGTAGCCTTCTTCCTGAGCACAGATATAGAACCCTAAATCCTACATTGCATCCCTTACACTTAACTTCTGCTAATTTTTTTTATACTTCTAGATGTAAAATCTAATTGTGTCATTCTTCTACTTTTAATTCTCTAGCCCAGTCTCCCTCTCCAGTCTCATCTCCCAAGATGCTACCATTTGTTCTCCATTTGCTACAACATACCAAATAACTTGCATTCCCCAAACTCAGCCATGTCTGCTCACCCACTGACACCTCCATGCCATCGCACAAGCCATTGCTGTTCAAGGAATGTTCCTCTCTGCCTCCTCCTGCACATTTTACTCTGACCTGCCACCCCCATCCCTATACACACATGCTGTCATGCAGAGCCTAATCCATCTTGTCATACCTCAGGCTTCAGCTCATTTCACCTCGTCTGACATGCCCCCATCTCACTACCATCATCAGTACCACCACCACATGATTTCAGTATCTTGCAGGCATCTAGCATAATATTCCCTATTCTGCATCATGACTACTGGATCACCTATCTCTCTGCCCTACTTCATAAGTTCCATGAGGACAAAGACTATGTTTTTTCATTTTTCCATCTCTAATACTTAGCACTTATTAGATACTAAGTTAAGTGGAGAATGAATAAATGAGTGAAAGAATGACTACACGAGAAAGGTGCAGAGTCCCCCAGTGTAACAAAAAGAAAATACAGAGGATGAATGGATATCTAAGTAGAGCAATGATAGCCAGAAAGGCAGAAAAATACATGCACACCCAATAGCGTACATTTATGAAACTTGTATAATTACAAATAATAAAATATTTCTGTGTGTCTGATGTACTAAACATTATAAATGAATATTGTGCTATTACAGGGTAGCAGTCAAGTATTTAGGAAGCCAAGCAGAGGATATAGAAAAGTGAAACAGCTGGAGTAAACAGTCTCCAAGACAAACTGAAATACGTCCAGGATTAGGTTTAGCTGGTGAACGACCATTTATAACCTCTGCATCAATGGATCCTGTCTTTGGACCTGTTTTTCTAGTATAGATAACAGATTTATGTTGACTCAGTTTGTTTATTCCCAATCCCATGCACTATGAGACATGATGTGCATGCAGATTGTCCCAATTTCTTGGCCTCACTTATTCTCTGCTCAGGGCAAATACAAATAAATCATCCCTACTTTAAGTGTGAATCCATTTGAGAATCAAAATAGCTTTAGGCCAGACATGGTGGCTCATGCCAATAATCCCAGCATTTTTGAGAGGCCAAGGCAGGAGGATCACCTGAGCCCAGGAGTTTTGAGGCCAGCCTGGGCAACATAGGGAGACCCTGTCTCTACAAATAATTAAACAATTAGCCAGACGTGGTGGTATGTGCCTGTGATCCTAGCTACTCCGGAGGCTGAGTTAGGTGGATCACCTGAGCCCAAGAGGTTGAGGCTGCAGTTAGCCATGATTATGCCACTGTGCTCCAGCCTGGGCAACAGAGCAAGACCCCGTTTCAAAGAAACAGAGAGAGAGAGGAGGGAAGAAAGGAAAAGAGGGAAGTAAAGGAAAGAAGGAAGAAAGGAAAACAGGAGGGGAAGAAAGAAAAAGAAAGAAGAAATAGCTTTATTTCTTACCCTGATCCACCCTACTGTCAGCAATATGGACGTGCACTTGGCATTTCAAGGGATGGTCTAGTAGACGATAGTATTTTCTGAGACCCCTTGATCTTACTTCCACTATGCCCATGCTGTATCTCCCATGCCAGAGTTTTTTTTTTTTCCTGCTGTAATCTAGATGTGTTCTCACCACAGGCATATTTTGGTGGCGAAGCTCGCTGCGATGCTGAGGCTGGACAGGGGGATGATTATGATCCCAGAGAGCTCATTTGCGGTGCCTGTTCTGATGTGTCCAGGGCTCAGGTATGCAGAACATTTTATTACAAACATATTATTTTTTAAACAATGATATGATGAGAATGTTAATCAGACTTTCTCTTGAGTGTTTTCTGATATTTGTTCTATGTTGTATAAGTTTTCACATTTCATATATATTATTTTCTTTGGGTGATATTTTATAATTTCATCTTCCATGAAATGATCACCATACTTAAACCATGTAATAAATTTACTTATTTTCTTAGTTTCTTAAACCTACAGTGAAGCCTTTAGGTTTCCCCCTCTTTCATGAAATGTTCACAGTACATCTGAAAGATTATGAGAGAGGTTAATTTTATTAATTTTCCATTTGACAGGCCATAAAACATTCACAAGAAAATTAAGTAGCTTGTTTATTAAGTCAGATAGATTATGATGGAAATGGAATTAGAACTTGGATCTTTGTCCAGACCTTTTGGGCAAAGCCACATATTTATTCATTAGTTTTTAAACATGCGTATCATCAGTTTTTCAATGAATTTTTGGAGTTGCGTATGACCTCAAAATACGAATTAAGGAGCTATCTATGTATATGCCTGTCTTAAGTGTAATTGACATAGTCTTACTATGATCTTGTGTCTGTCTCTTCTCTTTTCCTATAGATGTGTCCCAAACATGGCACAGACTTTTTGGAATATAAATGTCGCTACTGCTGTTCAGTGGCTGTCTTTTTCTGTTTTGGAACAACACATTTTTGTAATGCTTGTCATGATGATTTTCAAAGAATGACTAGCATTCCTAAGGAAGAACTACCACACTGTCCTGCAGGTATGCTTTTAATATTTTAAAATCACGATTCTGATCTATACAGTATAGTTTTATTTAAACATTCTATGAGAGCACTTTGTTTCAAGTGACAGAAACTCAACCCAAACTAGCCTAAAGAAGCAAGAGGAATTCCTTGACCCTTGTAAGCATATGACTTTCTGGGTGAAGTAGGAAGCAAGCTCATGATCATGAGTGAGGAGTTAGCTGTGACGGAGCAGATCTCTTGGGGTGTGAGAATGAAGTCTACTAAGGATTAGTAAAAAGACAGCACTAAGAAGTCATGTGAAGTTAAATATTACAGAATCATTTAAAAGGATTTTGTGATTTTTTTAAAATGAAGCTCGGAACCATTGCCATGAAATGAACAAGTGATTTAATCTAGAATGGCTGGGAATGAGCAGTGTAGTGAGCATGAGGAAGCCAAGGGAATTAAACAAGCCACTCAGAATACAGGAGAAATGATTGTCTATGGAAACCAGGCTGAGGGAAAACAAGTATGAAACCAAAAAGCAGCTGAAAATACTGGAAGAGGACAGGAGGCTGGTAATAACTGTGGGGTGGAGTACCAGGCTTTGTGGAAGTGAGAGAAGTTGAAGGAGAGGTCCGTGCGACCATAGGAGAGGATTTTACATAATGTATCTGAAATTAGTGAGAATGTATGCACAAGTACATGCAACACAATATACCATGTTGTTAAAGCTGGAAAACACACACTGCCATCTGTTGCTTATCAGAGTGCAAGTGACAAACCTCCCTGGAAAACAGCTCGATAATGCCTCTCAAAGTTACCAGTGTATCAACCCTTCAGCACTCCCTCTTCAGGGATATAGCTACAAATGAAAGGAAAATTTAAAAGGGCAAATAAACAGGGTTATTAATGCAGCATTGCTTATGATAATAAAAATGTATTTAAAATGCTGGTATCCAGTACAGTAGTAGCTAATATTGCACATCAGTTAAAAAAAAAAAAAAGAATAAGGATGGTGTTTCTGTGTGCTAATTTGGAAAGATCTTTAGGAGATAGTATCAGATGAAAAAAGCAAATTAGGCCGGGTAGGGTGGCTGGTGCCTATAATCAATCCCAGCACTATGGGAGGCCAAGGTAGATGGATCACTTGAGGTCGGGAGTACGAGACCAGCCTGGCCAACATGATGAAACCCCATCTTTACTAAAAATACAAAAATTAGCCAGGGATGGTGATGGGTGCCAGTAATCCCAGCTACTCGGGAAGCTGAGGTAGTATAATCGCTTGAGCCTGGGAGGCATGAAGGTTGCAGTAAGCCAAGATTGCACCACTGCACTCCAGCCTGGGTAACAGAGTAAGACTCTGTTTGTTTCAAAAAAAAAAAAACAAACAAACAGCAAATTGCAGAACAGGGTAGGTAGTATGTTGCCTTTTGTAAGAAAGGGGGAAAATGAGAATATCTAGTCATATTTGTTTGTATTTACATAAAGAAACCCCTGGAAAGATACATAAGAAACTAATAATATTAATTAACTATTGGGAAAAACAAGGAGAAGATGGGGGTAAAGACTGGGGAAGGTGGCTTCCAACTGTGTATCATTTCTAACATTTTGATTTTAAACCATGTGAAACATACCCATTTCAAAATAAAGGTAAGTAGAGTTTTTTCAAGTATGACTACTTTTTACCATTTGCTCATGCCAAATAAAAATTTTTTTACTGTTTCTTCTCAATAACTGTTTTTTTAAGTCGACGTAGCAGGCTGTGAAAGAAGCAAGGTCAGAATGATGTGAGCCGAGGATTTGTAGGATAATGGACAGAACAGAGATGTGAGCCATGCTTGGAGGGGAGGGTGATATGCTAGAGGTCAGCATGTGAAGGGAGTATGGAAAGGGCAGTATTCTAGATGATTCTAGATGACTTGAGCTTGGGGGAAGCGCAATTATTGGATGAAAGTTGTAGGTTGTGGTCTGGAAATGAATAGGAACCAAGAGAAAATCAGTCACACATTGTAGCCATGTGACGTAGAGGAGCTTGGGAGATAACCAGCCTCCAGTTGAGAAAGATTTAAGGCATACGGTGTCATCAGGGAAAATCTAGATTTTACTTAAACTTTCCTCTGTGTTAAAAAAAAAAAAAAGAAAGAGACAAGAATGCTAAAGATAAGGAAGTTAACAATGAACCACATTCAGAGAAAACGGTGGTGGGTACTAGCTGAGAGAGGAAGGTCAGGCTTCCCTTGGTACAGTCACGTACCAGGGAGTCAACACAAAGGAATCCAAGGAGGGAGCCAGAGTCAGCAGAAGGAAGGAAGGACCTCAGTCCTGGGCATTTTTGCACATATTTTCTCAATTTTTACAACTTACAAGTAGATGATATTATCCCTGTTATCAAATGGAAAATTGAGGTCTAGCGAGGTTAATGAACTGGCCTAAGAGCATTCTCTGAGATTGAGGTATGCTCTCCCAGCCTCACACATTCCTCTAACTCATCTGTTCATTTAGAGAATGGGAATAGAATAAAAGAGATCCCACAGGGATATGAGTAGAGAAGATGGCCATGTACCGTTTACTTAGGACAGAAGAAGCAATTCTCTAACCACTCTCAACCCCACTATTTCTCATCGTTTTATATAATCAGTCTTCATCCATTCAGACTTCTATAACAAAATACTATACACTGGTATAAACAGTGGAAATTTATTCTCACAGTTCTGGGGACCAGGAAGTCTAAGATCTAGTAACTAGCAGATAAGGTGTCTGGTGAGGGCCAACTCTCAAGCTCATAGGTGGCGCCTTCTTGCTGTTGTGGAAGGGCAGGGGGCCTCTCCTGGGTCTCATTGATAGGAAGAGCGCATATCCCATTCATATCCCATTCATGGGTTCCACTCTATGACCTCTTCACCTCCCACAGCTCCACCTCCTAACACCATAACATTGGTGTTAATGTTATAGTCTTAAGCAGTGCACCAAGATGTAACAGTCTCTCATTGTCTGAGATAATTCCTGGAGTTCTTTGTCCTACCTCCAAGAGGATTAAGCAGTGCAGACACCAAGGTGAGGTTAGAGCAAAAGTTTAATAAGCAAAAGAGGAAAGCTCTTGTCAGCAGAAAGGGGGGCCTGAACAGGATGCCCACTATGAGGCTGGGGTCCAGGGTTTTTATGGACTGGAAAAGGGAAGGAATCTACTTAGTCTGCAGGCTGTCTTGGAGAAAGCATAACTCAGCTTGGCCCAGTGGAACCCAGTGGAGCCCACTGTGCCTATACCTACAAAAAGAGAGAGCGTACTGACCATACAAAGGACACTGAACTTAAAGGATAATAATAATAATAAAGTTTACATATTACTGGTTAAAAAAAAAAGGACAATGCTATTTCTATGCCAGGTCTTGTCCTTCATCTGATTGAAGGTTTTTCTATCTGTGCAGCAGTGAGCATGTCTTCAGGCACAGCACCCTGGGCTGGTTCCCTTATCGGCGCCTACAGCTTGATTTTTTTTTTCCTCAGGCTGCTTTTTATGTTATGTGGGGATGAGGCACTGACCTGTGGGCCTCCAGGGCTCTCTGGGGATCCTTCCTTTGCTATCTACCCAAGGCAAGCTGATTTAACTCCTTTCATTAACACAACAGTATATAAACTTGGAGGGGCACAAAAACGTTCAGACCATCGTGTAATCCCTCTGTCCATTTATTTCTAAAATATTTATTGACTACCTTCTCATACCAGAATACTTATTCTTCACAGTACCCCATGAATTAGGTATTGCTGTGCCTATTTTAAAGATTAGGAATTTAGCAATCAGAAAAATTAATTTTACTTCAGTTTCATATATCCAAAATGAAGATAACAGTTTCTGCCTCCTATGGCTGTAAACGATTAAGTAGTTGATAGACTAAAACAGTGAGTGCCTCAGTAGTAAACACTCAGATGTTTGCAGGTGTGTTTGTTTTGTTTGGTTTTCACCATTTTTATTTCTCACTGTCGTGTTGGATTACGAACACCTTGAAGATGGGAGCCATGCATGCAGTAAATACTTGTTGAGTAAATGACTCATTTTTTCCTTGAAAAAAAAAAAAAAACAAGGACTACAGTTTGCATCACCACCACTGAAATGTTGCATTTCTGAACTAGATCTGCCATTGAGTGTCCCCATGCTGCCCACTCTCCCCGACCCTCTGGTGGGGTGGGCAGCAGTGTGCAGTGTGATTTGCAGTGTGCAGTAGCGGGAGCTACTGATCTACCTTCTGACAGGAATAATTAACTTTCTAGCAAACCTCTGGTATCCTCCCGTGCTGACCCATCCTGGGGTCTGTGCCTGCATTTGCCTGAGGCGGCACTCATTGCCACTCATGCCTGTTAGCTCTAACCTGAAGTTTACTTCTCTGTCTGAGATTAGCAGTCTTCAGTTTGATACTTACTCTCATGCCTTGGTCTTACTCTTACATGGAACTTACTTTTTATTCCTCTAGATCAGGCCTCAGTTTATGGTTGTTCAGTAATAGTGGTAATAGTCATTTATTGGGTATTTATATGTGCAAGTGAAGAGCTTTACAAATGCTAGACTTTTATCCCTCATGGTTTCCTTCTATTATGTCAGAGATATTTTTAAACCTAGAAAAGGTAAAGTAAATGAGACATCATTCCTCACTGATCAGTGTAAGCTCATTCCATTCAATCTCATGTTTTTCTCTCAAGCAAAATCAGAAATTATTATTTTGAAAACTAGCTGTAGAAAACTAATGCGCAGTTCTAATTCCTCCATCTACCCTTAAATAGGCACTCTGCTGTCAAGTATAAGCCTGGTGTGTTTTTCTGTTATTACCAAGTAAGGCTCCTTGTTTCTAAAGAAACTAAAAATCTTTTTTAAATGATAGGAAACCCATGATGTGAAACACATTAATATAACACATTTCTTTTTTAAAATGCTGTTTTTAGTACATTTTATAGACCTACTTTGATTATTAACAAATTTATATCTTTCCCAAAGTGTTTCTTCCACATTGTATTTTATAATATTGTTCATATTTTTTAACAATGTTCAAAATATTATGTTCAAATATTCAAATAAATGTTCAAAATTTATGCTCAAATATTGTTTATATTTGTGTAATTTTTAAAAGTACACAGATAATTGGCCTTCCCATTTTACCAGTGTGTGCTTTTTCATCAGTAAAGATAAAAGGGAAACATGGCTTCTTTAAACTTAAATTTGTTTTTACTTACAGAAAAACATTCTACACAAAAATCTCCCTGTTTTCTATTCAGAAAAATAATGTTCTGCCAGACTAAATTAAGGTTTTTTTGTGACTTTTTTTGTTCATTGCTCTTTCTTTTAATATGATATATCTGATGCATTTATTGATAGAAAAAGATCTGTAGTTCATAATGATTCTCCCTAGGCAGGATAATAGTGAGTAAGAGACTCCATCACTTCTTCCATATGTCTGTTATATTGAATTTTTTTATAGTGAATATTTTTACTTTTGTGATCAGAAGAAAAATTTCTAAATTTTATATTTGTATAATCACTGTCATGTTATTTCTTTGAATAACCTATCAGTGATTTATATTTATATGAGGTTCATATGTGTGTATTCTTAAAACATTATTTTTCTTTGCCTCCTTCAAATTTATACAGGTCCCAAAGGCAAGCAGTTAGAAGGAACCGAATGTCCACTCCATGTCGTTCACCCACCCACTGGGGAAGAGTTTGCTCTGGGATGTGGAGTGTGCAGAAATGCCCACACTTTTTAGAAAACTCAGATCCTTTGTCTACAGAGAGAAAAGTTGTCTTCATCCCCCATGAGGATGCGGTGAGGTTAAAACTCTGCTCAGGATAAGGACGGGACCATTTTTACATCCATGAAAATGAACCATTCACAGTGCAAGAAGGATGCCAAATACTTTGTACATAATTCTTGCTATGAAAAGTTTCTCCATTATTTTCGTTTATCTTCTTTTGAACAGATGACATCAACCTTGTGAGGTGTTTGCATGTGGCCATTACCGTCATTGGCCTGTGAAGCATTGGACATTTATAGATAATTGATATAAAAGAATCGCCATGTCAGTGGACTAAGAATGATGCTGGCTTTCAAGCAAAAAAAGAAAAATAATCATTGTTTATTGTATACTGCCTTTTTGTAATCCTGTACAATTGCATCACAGGTGGGGATAAAAAAGAGGAATATTCTGGATTATTTCCTAGACTGTTATTTAAAAAAAAATTGTGTTAGGACAGCATACAAATGTAATAAGTATCACACTGTATATAAAGATATCAATGTTTGTCCTGTATAAGAATTACTAAATTACAAATGCAGTTTCATTTAAACTTCTAGGTTAAGTTTGAGCCTGAAATTTTAATGAAGTGCAATACTGAGTGTGCCTCATTATCTTGCAGCTGTAAACATATTGGAATGTACATGTCAATAAACCCACTGTACATTTTTATACAGTGATAAAGTCTACCGCTGTGGGAGGTGTTGTTTGAGAAACAAAATTTAATACCTTTATGGTCTAAAAGTCCAGTTTTCCTCAGAAATGTACTAACATAATTATAATTTTCATAACTGTTAGGGAAAATAAGAATAGTAATGAGGTTTAGTGTTGGAATCTTAAACCCTGGGCAGAAATCATGAATATATATACATTCGTAGGTAGACGTATTCATACCGAGACAGAAGAAAACATTTAGGAAATTCTATCTTAACTAGCAGAATTGTGAGCTTTTATCTATCTGTTTATGAGTCAGGATCTCACACTGTCACCCAGGCTGGAGTACAGTGGCATGATCTCACCTCACTGCAGCCTCCACCTGAGCTCAAGTGATATCCAGCCTCAGCCCCCTGAGTAGCTGGGACTGTAGGCGTGTGCCAGCACCATGCCCAGTTAATTTTGTAATTTTTGTAGAGATGGGGTTTTGCCGTGTTGCCCAGTCTGGTCTCAAACTCCTAGGCTCAAACCATCTGCCTACTTCATCCTCCCAGAGTGCTAGGATCACAGGTGTGAGCCACTGCACCCCAACCCTTTTTGAACTTTATGTAAAGTAATAAAATCACTAATTTTTTATTCATTTTCTATAGACAATAGTGTGTTTAGGTACATCTTTTTGACACTTGAGTCACAAAATTGCCAAATTGATTGTTGACTCATCATACCTCAGATTAGCAAAAGCTTTTTTTTGTTTTTTTTTTGAGACAGTCTCACTCTGTCACCCATGCTGGAGTACAGTAGCATGATCTTGGCTAATTGCAACCTCCAACTCCCAGGTTCAAGCGATTCTCCTGCCTCTCAGCTTCCTGAGTAGCTGGGACTATAGGCATGCACCAACACACCCAGCTAATTTTTGTATTTTTAGCAGAGATTGGGTATTACCATGTTGACCAGGCTGGTCTTGAACTCCTGACCTTAGGTGATCCTCCTGCCTCGGCTTCCCAAAGTGCTGGGATTACAGGTGTGAGCCACTGTGCCTGGCCAAGACTAGCAAAAGTTTTGTTTGCATTTTGTTCTAAATTCCAGCTGTTGGAAATAGAGAACTTAATTTGTCAATACAGAAATTACTGATAAATGTAATGACATTTGTGTTAAGCATTGATGAGAAATTTAAGACAATCTTTGCCTTGAAGGAACTTAAAATATAAAACAAAGATCAGTTCTGAGCACGGGTACCTATTTTACAGAATGTTCTAATAAGTTTCATAAAAAATATCCAAGCCAAATTCTTCAGGATTTAGAAAAATCATTATTGTTTTTTCTTTTGTTGTTCTTGGAAGGGAGTGTAGCTAAGAGGCTGTTTAAGCTGCATTCTGAAGAATAAGTAGCATTTCAAGGAGCAGAGATGTGGAGAAAGGCATGAGAAATATGTAAGTAGCAAGATCTAGAATATGATCAAAGAACAGTAAGTATGAGTGTTCAGGCTTGGAATTGACTGAAAATGTTTCCAGAAAACGCAAAGTAGATAGAGAGAGACTAAAGCCGTTCTTAGATGTACTCTCAGAAAAGCTGGAGGGGAGAATGCAGTGAGGCCACTGTCAGTATATTTGACTTAAAATCACAGGCCACAGAATGAAACTAACCTTGAGAATGTCACACAGATAAGAGACTTTATGAGCACTTAAGAACTATAAAGAATACCATTTTGTGTCCATTAGCTTTGCTGGCAAACTGATCACTCCGTTTGTAAACTGTAGAGGAAAAGAAAGAAACTATTGAGATGGCTTGGCTAAAAAAGCCATCTCAAGTTATGAAAGGGATAAAAGCAACAAAGCCCTATAGTATATTCTCACAGTGACTTTACGTTATCTTCATTTACGAGGAAGCCACTTGTAATCAGGATCTCTAGTACCTAAAAACCAGAGAACATAAACATCTAATGAATAAATTATGACAAAGCACAGGAAGGGGAGGCTTTGGCATGGCATTTTTAGCTCAGTCATCCTACACTCAAGGACCATCCTTCAAACACTGCATGTAACATGCAAGACGGGAAACAGAATCACAATAGTAGGTGTCAGTTAATCTTTCTGGAAGGAAATTGTTTTTCTGTTATATTTTCAAGCCTAGGAAAAGCCATTTTTCTTAGTATTATGGCTAGATTGTTTAGGCCTAAAATCTCCCTATTCTATCAATAAGCTTACTTGTTTTTGTTTTTTGGTAGGGGGGTGGAGTTTGTCATTGTTTTTGAGACAGGGTCTCACTCTGTCGCCCCAGCTGGAATGCAGTGGCACTATCTCAGCTCACAATAACCTCTGCCTCCTGGGCTCAAGCAGTCCTCCTGCCTCAGCCCCCATGTAGCTGGGAATACAAGCATGAGCCACTATGCCTGGCTAATTTTTGTTACTGAGACAGGGTTTCACCATGTTGGCCAGGCTGGTCTCAAACTCCTGAGCTGAAGCAATCCACCTGCCACGGTCTCCCAAAGTGCTCGGATTACAGGTGTGAGCCACTGCACCCAGCCTCAATAAGCTTATTGATAAAATATATCTCCCTGCCCCCTGTGTCAGCATATTCTACCTATCTATCATCACGTGTTTCTGCCATTGGCTGTATGACAGAACACTGCAGCTCGTTTTCCTGGAAACTAGCAACAGTGCATAAAGTGCTGGGCAGGAAACCAGAAGCTTTGAAGTCAAGCCTTGGCTCTGCCTCATTTTTGCCTGGGTGGCCTTGAGTCAGCCACATACCTTTTAAAATCTCAATTTATTACAAATTATGCCAAATCTAAATCAAATGAAATAAAGCACAAAAGTGCTTCATTCCGCAATAAGCTATTCAAGAGAGAGCAAAGGAGAGGACATTTACTCAACACCTCCTAAAGGGCTGGCACTGAATTTAGGCATTTTATTTAATCCACCCAGCAACTCTGGGAGTAAAGCATTATTAATCCCATTTTGGCTGTTTAAAGAAATAAATTATTTGCACTAGATTCCAGCTGTAGTTGAGCTTTAGAAAAAAAAAAAATCTTGAGATGTGAATTCACAGCTTTCTGGCTTTAAAGCCCAAGCTCTATCACATCATGCGATTATTGTTACATTACTGCTAGTTCTATGAAAAGAAATACTAATTTATGAAATGCAGATTGATTATCTCTTACCCAAAATGCTTGGGACCAGAAGTTTTTCTGATTTGGGGTTTTTTCAGGTTTTGGAATATTTGCATTGCCAGTAGAGCATCTGAAATCCAAAGTGCTCCAGTGAGCATTTTCTTTGGGTGTCATGCATGCCGGCACTCAAAGTTTCACATTTCAGATTTTCGAATTTGGGATGCTCAACCTGTAATAACAGGACACTTGTAGTATGGGCAAGGTTGCACAGGAGACAAGACAGCATATGCCTCCAAGAGTGTGCAGTATCATTGGGAGGTACCTCCACCCAGATGTCCCTTCAGGGGAGGCCCTACTTCAAGGAGTCCAGTTAGCTGACAGCCTCCAGCTTTAACACGTGCAGGAATAACCCCCATATATGACCCAATGCCACACTCCTCCAGGGCAGCCCCAGCCTGTGACAGAGCTCAGCTGGGGTTCTTGGGCCTGGGCATTTCTGCCCAAGCAGCCCTCCTGAGTGGACAGTCTTCCATAAGAACTCAGGCTGACTGAGACTGCCAGAGAGCTGCCCTGCAGCCGGAGGCTCCTCCTACCCAATCTTTCCTTCCCTTCTCTCTCTTCTTTCCTAGATGCCAGACCTACATCACAGTCTAATGGCTCTCCTTGTCCACTCCTGCTCCCTCACCACTTCATCTTGCATGGGCATTAACCCCAACAGATTTTCTGCACTCTGACTTCATCTTGGCATCTGCTTCCTAGAGGACTTGCCTGACACGGGAGGGTAATACATTTTAAATGACTTACTTATCACTTCATTTCTCAAATGTCTTAGGGTAGCTTAGGAAAAAAATAACAAGGCTATAAAAAGATATACTGGAGGGAGTTACAGTGAAGAAAAATTATGAAAGAAAATAAAAGCCAAGGTTAAAGATTAATGTCTCATACTAACCACACAATCTCATCAAATTGCTAAGGAAAAGGCCACCAATGTGGCAGTAAGTTTCTCCACTAACAAGTAAGGTCAGAAATATCTTCTTTTAAAACATACAATGTTCATTTGTTCATTTCCAAATTAAAAAGAAAAAACCCTGTACAGGTAGTTTTTCAGGATAGATCAGTTGTGACAAGCAAAAGTGGGAAACGACACTCCAGGGAGAGATGATGATGAGAACTGAGGCATTAATGTTCCTCAGAAGCATCAGGTAAGCTGTTTTGCTTCATTAATTTAATAAATATTTGAACACCTGGTCTAGGTCCACACATGACGGTACACTCTCATGAGGGTGTTTAGTAACCATGACTTCTACAGAGAAGGTGCTTGATGAATGAACTGCATGAGAGTCTATCAAGATGTGCAGCGTGCTCTGCCAGGTGGTAGGCATGACACAGCCACGGAACACAAATACAGAATCCTGCAAACAATGCAGCGTTATTAAGGACCATAATTCAGGTTTTATAAAAATAAGAGAAAGCATTTATTGAGAGCTTATGGAGGCCTAGCACAGACATGGCAGATAGAATAACCATCCCCCCAAATCTGTCTGCATCTGAACGCTTGGATGTGTGAAGATGTTGCCTTACATGGTAAGTGGACTTTGTGATGGAAAGAGTACACTGGATTGACCCCCTGTGTCCAATGTAATCACAAGGTGTCTAATATGGGAAGGAGAGAGGCAAGAGGGTCACAGTCAGAGAAGGAGATGTGAGGACAGACGCAGAGGCCAGAGGTAGAGACTTGGAGATGCTACACTGTTGACTTTGAACACAGAAGAAGGGACCAGGCACCAAGGAATGCAGGCGGCCTCTGAGAGCTGGCAAAGGAGAACAGAGACTTTCCTCTAGAGGCTCCCCAGGGAATGCAGCTCTGCTGACACTCTGATTTTAGTACACTTCAAAATTCTGATTTCCAGAGCTACATAATCATAA